CCAGCTACTTGGGAGGCTGAGGCAGGAGAATCACTTGAACCTGGGAGGTGAAGGTTGCAGTGAGCCGAGATCATGCCATTGCACTCCAACCTGGGCAACAAGAGTGAAACTCTATCTAAAAAAAAAGAGAGAGAGAGAGAAGAAGAAGGAAATATTTTCCAGGGACTTCCGGTTACTTTTTGTAGGCTAGAATTCTGCCACATGGCCAAATCTAACTGCAAGCGATTCTGAGAAGGTGACGATTTTAGTTGGGCATGTTGCTGCTCCAAATAAAATTGTACTTTTTGTCAGTGATAAAGAGAACAGATAATGGGGTGTGGTGGGGGGGAGTTGGAAGTACCCAGCACAGGGTCCAAGCTTCCAGAGATCTTACATTCTGATGGGGGAGATGGGAGGGTCAACGGAAAACGGTAACCCAGCTTGGTAAATCCTCCGCCGGAATCACAGGTGCTGTAGGAGCAGAGAGGTCTTAAGGAAGCCTTGCCAGAGTAGGAAACACACCTTGGAGGCCATTCCTTGAAGGACTAGTGGAAGTCCTCCAAGCAGAAGAGAGAAAGGCTTTTCAAGCATGATAGAAAGCATCTTTCAAAGTTATCGGAGATTTTAGTGAAAATTGGGAACCCAACGTTCGGTGTTACTGAAGTGTGAGGGTCAAAGGCTGAACATGGAGCTGGCGGGGAGGAGGCAGGAAGAAAATAGTCATGAAAGTCTGGTATGCCATGAAGAGGAATAGAGCTTTACCCCCAAGAGCTCCTGAAGGGTTTTAAACAAATGAATGACATAATCAGATTAGGATTTTATTTTTTTAAAAGAATGAGATGGGGTCTTGCTATGTTGTCCAGGCTGGTCTTGAACTCCTGGGCTCAAGTGATCCTCCTTCCTCAGCCTCCCAAAATGCTGGGACTACAGGTGGGAGCCACTGCACCTGGCCCAGATTTTAAATAGCTAGCAGTACATCACCTGACACAATTATAAGGGTTAGTTGAATGGGGGCAGCCATGTGCATGGAGAACATGTGAAGTATAATAATAGACATGGGGTGGAGGAATGTTCTGACATAGAAGGAGTAGCGACAGGGTTTTTGCATCCCATCTGGATGGGATATGATAAATATTTCAATCAGGGCTACAGGAAGAAGGATAGAAAGTTCTCTGTGCTCCAAATGTGACATAGTTTGCTTAGTAAGGTAGGATTCTTAGAAAGAAAAAATAAACCTAGGCTTCTTTTCTGATACTGGTTCCTTTCCACTTCCTACCAAATCCTGGATGAAGAGGGGAGGTAGGAGAAGGGAAACCCTTCAAGAAGCCATGGTATGGGAAGAAATATTGGTGGGATCTGGGTTCTGAAGTCCCTTCTCTTCCCTTGCTGTTGAACTGTTGGCCCTCCCTTTCCTTCTCTCCTCTTCTCATTTCCTGTTCCCTAGCTAGTCCTCTACACCCTTGGCTTCTCACTACCTATTTGCTGCTAGCTGCCCATCTTTATCTTCAGATTTCTTTCTTTCTTTTTTTTTTTTTTTTTGAGACGGAGTCTCGCTCTGTCGCCCAGGCTGGAGTGCAGTGGCCGGATCTCAGCTCACTGCAAGCTCCGCCTCCCGGGTTCACGCGATTCTCCTGCCTCAGCCTCCCGAGTAGCTGGGACTACAGGCGCCCGCCACCTCGCCCGGCTAGGTTTTTTTTGTATTTTTAGTAGAGACGGGGTTTCACCGTGTTAGCCAAGATGGTCTCCATCTCCTGACCTCGTGATCCGCCTGCCTCAGCCTCCCAAAGTGCTGGGATTACAGGCGTGAGCCACCGCGCCCGACCCACTTAACTTCTTAAGTCTTGAGGATCACTATTTCCTTTTATTCCAAAAGAGGGAATGCTCTGGTAAGTGCTGCAGACCCAAAATGTACGTGGGGTGGAGCTTTTAGTGAGTGGAAGGGGCTTTCATGACTACCTTCTTTTTTTTTTTTTTTTTTTTTTTTTTTGGAGACCGGGTCTCACTCTGTCGCCCAGGCTGGAGTGCAGTGGAGCAATCCCAGCTCACTGCAACCTCCGCCTCCCAGGTTCAAGCGATTCTCCTGCTTCAGGCTCCTGAGTAGCTGGGATTACAGGCACGCGCCATCACGCCCAGCTAATTTTGGATGTTTCGTAGAGACAGGGTTTCACCATGTTAGCCAGGCTGATCTTGAACTCCTGATCTCTAGTGATCCACCCGCCTCAGCCTCCCGAAGTGCTGGGATTAGAGGTGTGAGCCACCGCGCCTGGCAACTACCTTTTCTTCAGAGTTCCCTCTGTTCTCTTCCTTTGATAGCAGAGAGGCAAGCCAGGGAACGACCTCCTTTGCGTGTCTTCCCCCATGTGCCCTCACTATAGGAACTCCTAGAAGGACCAGAACAGACACAAGGATGGAAGAGAAAAGAACAGAACAATTAATGCAACTGTGACTCTGGGCTTGGGGAAATATTCTCTTCAGTACACACATTTATTTGTTTATTTATTTATTTTTGAGACAAGGTCTCACTTTGTCACCCAGGTTGGAGTGCAGTGGTGCAAACTCGGCTCACTACAACCTCCTCCTCCCGGGTTCAAGCGATTCTCCCACCTCAGCCTCCGGAGTAGCTGGGACTACAGGAACACGCCACCATGCCTGGCTAATTTTTGTATTTTTGGTAGAGGCGGAGTTTTGCTATGTTGCCTAGGTTGATTTCGAACTCAGAGCTCAAGTGATCCGCTCACCTTGGCCTACCAGAGTGCTGGAATTATAAGAGTGAGCCACCACGTCTGGTCTTTTTAATTTTAAATTCACGAGGTACATATGCAAGTTTAGATTCAGGGCGTAAATATGCAGGTTTTGTTACATGGGTATATTTCGTGATGCTGAGGTTTGAGCTACTGATCCCATTGCCCAAATAGTGAACATAGTACCTGAAAGTAGGTTTCAAGGCTTGCCCTCTTTCCTTCCTCCTCCCTTTTGGAATCTCCAGTGCTTATTGTTCCTCTCTTTGTGTCCATGTGTACAACATGTTTAGCTCCCACTTAAAGTGAGAACATGCAGTATTTGGTTTTCTGTTTCTGCATTAATTCACTTAGGATAATGGTCTCCAGCTGCATCCATGCTGCTGCAAAGGACATGATTTCATTCTATTTATTTATTTATTTAGATATGAAGTTTTGCTCTTGTCGTCCAGTGCAATGGTGCAATGGTGCGATCTTGGCTCGCTGCAACCTCCACCTCCTGAGTTCAAGCAATTCTCCTGCCTCAGCCTCCCAAGTAGCTGGGATTATAGGCACCTGCCACCACGCCCAGCTAGGTTTTTGTATTTTTAGTAGAGATGGGGTTTTGCCATGTTGGCCAGGTTGGTCTCAAACTCCTGACCTCAGGTGATCCACCCACCTCGGCCTCCCAAAGTGCTGGGTTTACAGGTATGAGGCACCGCACTGGGCCGATTGCATTCTTTTTTATGACTACATAGTATTCCATGGAATATATGGACCACATTTTCTTTATCCAATCTACCATTGATGAACATCTAGGCTGATTCCATGTCTTTGCTATTGTGAATAGTGCTGCAAAAAATGTACGGGTGCATTTGTCCTTTTGGTAGAAAGATGTATTTCCCTCTGTGTATATACCCAGTAGTGAGACTGCTGGGTTGAATGGTAATTCTATTTTTAATTCTTTGAGAAAACACCAAACTGCTTTCCACAGTGGCTGAACTAATTTATGTTCCCACCAACAGTGTGTTAGAGTTCCCTTTTTTCTGCTACCTTGCCAACATCCATTATTTTCTGACTTTAATAATAGCCATTCTAACTAGTGTAGATGGTATCTCACTGTGGTTTTGATTTTGCATGTCTCTGATGATTAGTGATGTTGAGCATTTTTTCGTATGTTTATTGGCCACTTGTACTCTTCTTTTGAGAAGTGGCCGCTCATGCCCTTTGCCCACGTTTTGATGGAATTATTTGTTTTTTTTCTTGCTGATTTAAGTTCCTTATAGATTCTGGATATTAGTTCTTTGTTGGAGGCACAGTTTGTTAATATTTTCTCCTATTCTTTAGGCTGTTTACTCTGTTGATAGTTTCTTTTGCTGTGCAGAAGCTCTTTAGTTTAAGTAGGTCCCATCTGTCATTTTTTTGTTTTTGTAGAATGTGCTTATTTTCCCTGACTTTTCAGTCAGAATTTACAATCAAGGGGAGCGTAATTGATCCAGTGGAGACCCAGGATAAAAGGGTGTAATTGCCTAGAGAATCTTTTCTGTTAAACATCATTCATCTTACTTCCCTTATCCCTTTGCCTCCAAACCTGTTTCCAAAACAAAAGCATTGCTCCGAGGAAGTGCTTGCACAGTGATAGATAGCCCACGTGGGGAAAGGCTGGGAGAATCATGCAGAAGAGAAACCGAGAGAGATGGAGAGTGCATTCTGGCCAGCCATTTTCTTGTCATCAATCACTGTTTGCCCCGCAGTAGTGGGCTGGGTGAGCGCAGCCCCATAATTAAAATTCTCTATTCGAACTTGTCCTCACATCTTTAAAATGATTCTTTGAGAAGTCTGGGTTAAAAGGTTTAAGGAAGAAGCCAAATTGTGAGTTTTGGGGGAAAGGACGATCATCATCTTTAAAAGAACTTTTGGTTTCCAAAGAAATATGTATAGAACTAAATGCACAGATTTTCTTTTCCATTTTTATTTTTTTAGCCAATTCTCAAAGCCCTAAATCACATTTTCCTTTAGATTTAAACTCTAGAAAAACATTATTATTATTATTATTATTATTATTATTTGAGACAGGGTCTTGCTTCATTGTCCAGGCTGGAGTACAGTGGCATAATCTCAGCTCACTGCAACCTCCACCTCCAGTGCTGAGGCGATTCTCCTGCCTCAGACTCCCAAGGGGCTGGGATTACAGGCCCGTGCCACCACACCTGGCTAATTTTTGTATTGTTAGTAGAGACGGGTTTCACCATGTTGGCCAGGCTGGTCTTGAACTCGCAATCTCAAGGGATCCGCCCACCTCACACTCCCAAAGTGCTGGGATTACAGGCATGAGCCACTGTGCCCAGCCTAGGAAGACATTCTTGTCTTCTCTAGTTCACCCTCCACCACCGTCTCCTCTCTGGAGAGCCCCCTAAATGGCTACACAAAACAGCTAAACCACCTTTCTTCCCCCTGTGACCTTGCCCATACAGCGCCGCCTCTGAGTGCTATCCCATCTCCTTGCAAAGGTACTAGAAAGTATTACAGCTGAGGTTCAGACATGTTCATCTGTTACCCATTTACTAGTCAGAGAAATTAAATTATTTGATTGAATGAGTTCTGCTTCAAGCGACAGAAGAATGTTCCACCCTCCAGTAATGACATAGAGGACTAATTGAGTCTCTTTCCAGCTTCTGTCCTGAAAAGCAAACAATCAAACAAACAAAAAATAAAAGACATTGTGATACTCAGAAGCTCAGTACATATATAGAGGATACTTGACCTCTATATACAAAATAACTCACAAATGCACAATTGGATTATTAATAGTGTTATCTCACAGGAGTAGAATCAGGTAACCTTTACTTTCATCTTAGTATTTTCATATAACAAAGATGTATTATGTAAAAATATTAGGAAAAGTCAATCTATTTTCAATGTGACAGAAAAAAGTATTGTTTTAATTCCAAGATTAGTTTTTTCTGACATAAACTATTTTCAAGAGTTTAGGACAGGCTGGGCACAGTGGCTCACACCTGTAATCCTAGCACTTTGGGAGGCTGAAGTAGGCAGATCACCTGAGGCCAGGAGTTTGAGACCAGCCTGGCCAACATGGCAAAACCCCATCTCTATTAAAAATACAAAAAAATTAGCTGGGCGTGATGTCACATGCCTGTAATCCCAGCTACTCAGGAGGCTGAGGCACAAGAATCGCTTGAACTTGGGAGGCAGAGGCTGCAGTGAGCTGAGATCACGCCACTGCACTCTAGCCTGAGCCAGACCCTCTTTCAAAAAAAAACAAAGTTTTAAGACAAAAAAGGAAAACTCACTTTCTATCAAAAATAAGCTTCCAAAAGACAATAACAGGGCTGAGTGTGGTGGCTCATGCCTGTAATCCCAGTACTTTGGGACGCCGAGGCAGGTGGATCACCTGAAGTCAGGAGTTCAAGACCAGCCTGGTCAACATGGTGATACCCTGTCTCTACCAAAAATACAAAAATTAGTCAGGCGTGATGGTGGGCACCTATAATCCCACAACTCGGGAGGCTGAGGCAGGAGAATCGCTTGAACCTGGGAAGTGAACCACTCAACTTCTGCCACTGCACTCCAGCGTGGGCGACACAGTGAGACTCTGTCTCAAAAAAAGACAATAACAGTAACTTGAAAGAGGCTCCTCTTCACTTCTGCCACCTAACCCATGACTCCACCCATTTCTCAGCTGGACTTACCTCATTCACAGGGATCAGAATACTGAATTGTTGCCTGTTCATCTGTAAAATGAAATAAGACATATTATTACTTTGAGGGTCTCCTATATTCAGAGGGAAAATGTTTCATAAAAGCTACTGCTTTAGCCCTTTCCAGAGAATCTCTACAGGTTATGAGCATATTCAGGATTACAAGAAAGTTTCAATCACTAATATTTGTACATTGTGACAAATTATTAATCATAGCAAAAATAATGGAAATAGCCCTTTTAGAACGATGGTTCACATTGTTCTCTTCTTGGTCTAAGGACCACATCATATCAAATGTCTCTAGTGTACGCAACTTAAAAGTGGCACACAACTGAATTAAAATATTTTAGGAGATTAGATAATTACGTGCTACTTGGCTTGGGAAGGAGTATTTGTAAAATTAAGAGAGACGCCATGAAGAATGAGGCAGAAGTAAGTTGGGAGATGCAGGTAAGATCTCAGCTCTCATTTCAGCCCAGCCCTCTCACCTGGCAGGTAGTAGTCATAGACCTTGATGGTTGCTGGTTTCAAGTTGGTGACCAGCACACTTTGGCTGATGGTGAAGGTGTAAGTCTGAGTGTTCTTACTGAGCTGTGGGGAAGACAGACGAAACAATACCTTAGAACTAAAATGAAAATTACACTCTATGCAACGTGGAGTTAAAAGACCCTTGCTGTCTTCATGCAGATTTTCTGAAACCCCGCCAGGAATGGTGGCTCACCCCTCTAATCCCCGCACTTTGGGAGGCCGAGATGGGTGAATCACCAGAGGTCAGGAGTTCCAGACCAGCCTGGCCAACGTGGTGAAACCCCATCTCTACTAAAAATACAAAAATTAGCCGAGCATGGTGGCTGGCACCTGTAATCCCAGCTACTCAGGAGGCTAAGGCAGGAGAATCGCTTGAACCTGGGAGGCGGATGTTGCAGTGAGCCGAGATGGTACCACTGCACTACAGCCTGGGTGATAAAGCGAGACTCCATCTCAAAACAAAAACAAAAACAAAAACAAAAACAAAACAATTCTGAAACTCTCTACCTACCTCTACTGCCCTATGACAGTCTGCCCTAAGACATTGCCTCCTGCTGACTTCCTGGCTCTTTCTTCTTAGGATCTTACAGCTCTCTGGCCCTCTTGTGAACTGGTTCCCTTTGTTCATGGTCTACCCTGACCCATGGTTTCTCCACTAAATTAGTCAAAGTGGCCAAAGAAAGCAGAGGCTTGCATTTTACTCCAACAGTTCTATGCCCCTTACTGGTTTGCTTTCTTTAATCTGGTCCCTGAGCAAATGATACCTCCTCAAAGGGGCTTTCCTCAAACACCTTATTTAAAAATAGTCACATCCCTGGCCTGCCTCACCAGCACTCTTTATCCCCTTATGCTGCATAACACTTATTACTACCGAAAAAAAAAAAGTGCGTGTATACACATAGACATGTAATTTTAAAAAACTTGAATATTGTTGTCTCTCCACTAGAATATCAGCACTCTTAGGCCAGGCATCATATCTATTGTTTTCATTGCCACGTCTCCATCACTTAGAAAAGTGACTGGCATATGTTGGTTGCTCAGTAAGTATTTGTCGAATAAATTAGCAAATGGAGAATCTAAGGCAATTGTATAAGTTACTTTACTATAACAAGAAAATAAATCCCGGCTACTTGGGAGGCTGAGGTGGAAGGATCATTTAAACCCAGGGGTGGAGATTATAGTGAGCCAAGATTGGGCCACTGAAGTCCAGCCTGGGCAAGAGTGAGACCCTGTCTCAAAAAAAAAAAAAAAAATTATAAATTTAGATATAGAGCTATTAATGCCTAATTGGAAGGGATTTCCAAAGTTCTTCAGGTATAGTGCCTCTCGAAGTGTGGTCGAGGGACCTCCCCTACTCCAGGGATCGCTGAGATTGCATCAGAGTATCTGAGAGGTCAGAATTATTTTTAGAATGATATTAAGACTTTTTTTCCCACTCTCATTCTCTTACAAATATACAAGAGATTGTTTCCTTCTGGGGAAAGAGATTTAAAAAACTAAAAAATAAACAAGTATACAGTAGAGTTATCAGAGGCTACTTTATGTGTAATATTGCAATGGTTTGAACGTAGGAATAAATAGAAAATTTCATTCTCTTTGATTAAGCCAGATATTAAAGCAAAAATGCAAAACAATGTCACTATTCTTATTTTTTTGTTTTGGAAAATAGTTATCTTCTTTTTCTTTTTTTTCTTTTTCTTTTTTTTTTTTTGAGACGGAGTCTCACTCTGTTGCCCAGGCTAGAATATAGTGGCACGATCTCAGCTCACCACAACCTCTGCCTCCTGGGTACAAGCGATTCTTCTGCCTCAGCCTCTCAAGTAGCTGGGACTACTGGCGTGCTCCACCACGCCCAGCTAATTTTTGTATTTTTAGTAGAGACGGGGTTTCACCATATTGGCCAGGCTGGTTTCAAACTCCTGATCTTGTGATCTGCCCTCCTCAGTCTCTCAAAGTGCTGGAATTACAGGCACGAGCCACCACGCCTGGATAGAAAATAGTCATTTTCATAAAAATGTTATTTATATTAAGATGTAGTGAGTTTATTACTGTTTTTAAATTAATTAATAAATATTTTAAGATTGTCTCAGTTTTAATTTCTAACATGATAAAGACCAATAGTTAAAACCCACTTCACTGAAAGCTGTTTGAGGCCCTCAGTAAATTAAGAGTGTAAAGGGATCCTGAAACAAAGAACTTTTAGAACCACTGTTCTTTTCTATCATTTGGTCACCATAACGAATTAAAGCCAATGACTAACATGAACCAAAAGAAAGCTGGGGTAGGGCCGGGCGCGGTGGCTCACGCCTGTAATCCCAGCACTTTGGGAGGCCGAGGTGGGTGGATCACGAGGTCAGGGGTTCGAGACCAGCCTGACCAACATGGTGAAACCCTGTCTCTACTAAAAATACAAAAATTAGCTGGGCGTGGTGGCAGGTGCCTGTAATCCCAGCTACTCGGGAGGCTGAGGCAGGAGAATTGCTTGAACCCGGGAGGTGGAGGTTGCAGTGAGCCAAGATCACACCACTGCACTCCAGCCTGGGCGACAGAGCGAGACTCCATCTCAAAAAAAAAAAAAAAAGAAAAAGAAAAAGAAAAAAAAAGAAGAAAGCTGGCTAGTAGCAGTTTTAATATCTGACTAAATGGCAACTAAGGCAAAGAAAAAATGTGTGTGTGTGCATGTGTGGTGTAGGAATCTAAGGCAAAAGTATTTGATATAAATATATACACATATATAGTAATGGGGAAAGGATAGTATGTACTAATATAAGGAAAATTTAATAAGAAGATATGTTCATAATATATATATCTAATTATATAGTCTCAAATATATCAGGAAACGACAGTCAAAAATGTATGGATAAACGGATAAATCAAATATCATAATTAGAGGCCGGGGGCGGTGGCTCACACCTATAACTCCAGCACTTTAGGAGGCCGAGGTGGGCAGATCACTTGAGGTCAGGAGTTCAAGACCAGCCTGGCCAACATGGTGAAACCCTGTCTCTATCCAAAAAATACTAAACAAACAAAGAAACAAACTCCATCATAATTGGATATTTTAACATATGCTTTTCAGAAACTGTTAAATCAAGCAGAAAAATAAGCAGAGTTATCAAGCACATGAACAACAGAAATAATGATCTCAGACTTCTAGATCAGAATCCAGGCCCAAGAGAAAAGAAATAGATGTTCTTTTGGAGTGCACACTGAACACTTGCAAAAACATCACGGATTAGGTCATGGAAGAAACTTCAGCACATTCCAGGCAATCAGGATCATGAAGACTGTGTTCTCAGACCATAATGCAACAAAATTAGACATCAGGAACAAAAGGATGGCTTTAAAACTTTCATGTGTTTCCCAACAAATTAAGAAATATAAGTGAATGACAATGAAAGCACTACTTGTCTGAGATTGTGGGACAGGGATGGCATGTACCTCAAGGGACATTTATAGTACAAGTTCATTAAAGAATAAGGAAGACTATATATGTGAATAAGGTCATCCTCTGGTGAAATTGATCAAGACCACAAGGGAGAAGATACACAGAAAAGAGGAAATAACCACAGATACCATCATTAGCACTGGCTTTTAGACCATTAGACCTGATGCTTCAGATTAGAAGCCAACTGGCAGATTTGGCAGGACACACTGAGGAGCAAGCAGTTCATCACCGTCTCAGGCATGGTGTCATAGAAATCAGACTCCCCAGGTTCTGCTCCCACCCTAGACATGGACAGATGGGATGACTCGGACAAGCCACTCTCTCTCCAAGTCTCAGTTGGTTGCTGTAAGACTTGAATAAGTCATGTATGAAAGCATCAGAAACTTGGCAAAGTTTTAAACCACAACATCATGATTACAGGGTAGTGCCTGATAAGCTAACCCAAGCTATGTCAAAAGAAGCTATACACGGCTCACACAACGTGAACAACACCCTCGCTCCCTGGAAGATAGGAAACACAGTTAGATGATCGGGTTGGTGGGTGGGCAGGGGGTCGGAACTGAATGTTACTAACAACAGCATCTTTTGATTTGGGATATTCCTGTCTATTGGTTATATACAATAAGGATAACTTTGTTCCTTGTGTGGAGTGGAATACCATGAAAAGGAGCATTGTTAACAATTTTTAGAACGTTGTTAGTCCTTGAGAACTTCTTGCTTTATTAAAATGAAAGGTTATATATGATGTCTGATTAATATTAAGTAATATTAACATTATGTTAAAATGATACAAATGGCTATAGAGTAATGAGGGCTTACTCTGTACCAGGTACAGTCCTAGATATTTTTACATGTCTTAAATAATTTAGTTTTTTGTAGAACTCTAAGAGATAACTATTTTGACCCCTACCCACACACATTTTACAGCTAACTTTCAACAATTTGTCCAGTTACACAGCCAGTGCTAGAACCAAGATGGCAGCCCAGGCAGTCTGGCTTCAGAGCTTCTGCTATTAACTACTATAGCATACTCTAGAGTTGCAATGTCACTTGTGGCTATTGAGCGCTTGAAATGAGGCCAGACAGAATTGAGACGTGCTGACAGTGCTGTAAAGGTGTGGTACAGAAAAGAAAAAAAGAATGTAGATATCTCATTAATACTTCTGTATATTAATTGTATAGTAAAATGGAAATATTTGGGGTATATAGGCTTGCATAAAATATACCATTAAATTTAATTTCATCTGTTCCTCTACTTTTTAAATGTGGCTACCAGAACTCTTTAAACAATGTAAATGGCTCACATTATAGGTCTGTTGGACAGGGCTTCTCTAGAGGCACAACGGGGTGTTTTATGATATACCAGCATGGAGGCAGAACTCACGGCATGGTGTGGACTCACTCCCAGGCCCCTCATCCCCATGTGTGTGACACCCATATATACAGATTAGAAGAGAAGTCATGAATATCCATCAGCAATCCAGTTCTTTGATCTAGTTCCTGAATACCTACCTCATCCAAGTAAATGTTAAGTGTATCAGTTCCAAATTCAACCTTCTTCACCAGGGGTTGCTGGAGAAGCTGCATAAGAGAGGGAGAAAAACAGAGACTAAGAGCCAGAGCCTTCCCTATCCTGTAGGGTATTCTTCCAAAGCTCTGCCATGATCAAGGAAACAATATATACTGTGGAAAAGGTAGGAAAAGGGAACCGAGACTATTGCAAGTTGCATGTCATATGTCTGCTACAACCTTGCAGACCATTTAAACAATCCAATCATGAGTTTGTATGTATGTGTATATATACATATATACATATATATACACACACATATGCACATATATACATGTATATATACCTATATATGTATATATACACACACCGTGTATATGGATGCCATATATATATGAAAACTACTTTTCTTACAATGTACATACATATACATACATATATATGTATGTATATACATGCCATATGTGTATGTGTGTGTGTATATATACACACACACATGCCATGATGCCCATTTTACCAGTTTTTTTTATTATACTGTCAGGTCCCCTCACAGCTAGATAAATGAAGAAAACAGAAGTAACTTACTAACTGATTGGTGCCCTCCGTGGGACTGAACCCAGATAGCATCTTCACTTCCACAATCACCATATTGGAAGAGCTACGGCTCCCCACATAACTGAGAGCAGGAAGAAGAAAACATATGTGAGCCTATTACTTCAGTGCACTCTGCATCCCCAACACACATACACAGGCACACACACACGTGTCCCACCTCAGCTCCTCAGACCAGGTGCTCTGCTGGCCACCAGCACCCCAGCTTTCCTCACTTGGTGTGAATAGCGAGAGTCAAGGATCGAGGTGAAGTCAGTTGCTCACATCTAGCTTTTCCTATTTCCACGCTAAGACTAAAGGTCTTCATATTTTTAAGAGGGAGAATATTGTATCTCAACACCATCTGGTAGGAAGAAATAGCCAAATCAGAGTTGGAAAGAGCTTTAAAGATTGTACAGTTCAAACTACTTTCCTTACAAGTGAGAAACAGAGAGAGAGAGAGAAGGCCCAAGGGGAAGATGCCCTCAGACTCTCCTTCCCAATGTACATTCATTCTCATGGATCTCTACTTACCTGCACATAGACACAGCCCTGGCCTGTGGCCTCCAGCATGTACATTCCAGGGACATTGGGCAGCGTCTTCTGCTGAAATACCAATCTGTTGGCTGACTGTATGTTGAATGTATGCTGGAAATTCTCAGTGGATTTTACAACCAGGTTGATCTCCTCAGATGGCGTGTAGGCGGTAGTGGCATATTTGGCAAGAGCTTGGAGAGCAACTACAGTATCCTGAGGGAAACAACCAAACGTATACTTACCATTTTGTGAGTCATTGGAATTAACCGTGAACAACTCTAAACCCACACACGTGGTTGTTGTTAGTTGGCTTGGATGATGCCTCCTCTAAGTATTTAGAGAACTATACCCACCTCCTCTGGAGAAGCTGACATAGAAATCACAGTAGCTTGCTTTTATAGAAAATCACCATCAACAAGGTACTACTGAATATCCGCAGGTTACTTGGTTAACCTAATCGATTCATATTCAGAAATCAAACAGCTTCAGAATGAGTTATTGCTAGAAGCAAGTGGATAACTGTTCAGTATATATTTTACAGTTTCCTTATTTGGGGAGGAAACAGTAATAACATGATAGCCCTAGAAATTGCAGCCTATGACGTCATTTAACTGTGTGATGATCTTCTACATCACAGTTGGAAGGAGCATCAGGGACCTAGGAAAGTCCTTCCTTGCAGGCTGGCTTCTTAGCCGTGATACCATGTGACAATCTTTTATTTCTTTGGGAGTAAGACAGATAACTATCACTAAGTGAGCCTGGTACAGTGACGTTTGAACTCTTTCATTCTGAAAACATAATTCACATAAATTACAAGGGGAAAGAAAAATGAATAAAGTGTTCAACAAAATTGTCACATCTCGCTCTATGTTACGAAAATTTCTACATGCTTGATACTGTGTAAAATATCTATTACAAAAAAAGAAAAAACCCTATTTCTTCATCTCACAAATGAAAAAGACATTCTTATTTCGACATTATCACTGTCCTGCAAAACAGGAAGACAGATCACCCACCCTGGTGAAGCCGTGAAGAAGTTCTATCTGTGCAGCTTGGCCATCTACAAACAATTTTTGTTTCCCCTTTGTGGACTGGACCCAGGGAGGTTTTTTACTGCTTGAACATATAGAGACAATTCAAAGAAAGGGACCTCACCGTCAGCTGAAAAACCAGTGTGAGTAATACATGACATATGACCTCTTGTGATAGCCAAGGATTTCATTGAAAAAATGATTCTGACCTATACCTGTCACTGCGAGTTATAAACATTTCATCTACTGCTTTCCAAAAATATTATTATATATTATAATTTTTTAGGACTGAGCAAGAAGAAAGGAGTCTTTTCTAATCTTTGGCCAAGCATTTCCCTGAAACAGGGAGGCATAGTACCATATAATTTTTTTAAGTTTCAATTAGGTCATTACCACATTTAAACTTGGTGCCTTTAACATTTTTACCAAACATGCAATCTATTAAAAGATGTTCGTTCTTTCAGGTCTGATTTACATGTTATATCTTCAGTGAAATTGGCCAATTTCAACAAATCAGATTATAATCTTCATGAGGACAAGAAATATATTTTCTTAGTTACTTCTGTAGCCTCATCAAAGTGATTTGGACATGGTAGATATTTAATAATATTTTCAGAATAAATTAATGACTCTTCATTATAATCTAAAATAATTTTTTTATGATTTGAGTTTATCATACAATTCTACGCCTCTTTTTTTTTCCCTACTGCCACACCATTCATTCAATTTCCCAATTTCCCTTACCCCTAACCTAGATAAAACAGTCTCCTGATCTCTTCAAGTCCAACTTTTCTCTCCTCTAAATTATCTCACACACCAAGTGGCTAATTAATCTTTCTGAAACAAAGTTAAAATTGTTGTTGCTGTTGTTGTTGAGAAGGAGTTTTAACTCTTGTTGCTCAGGCTGGAGTGCAATGGCACCATCTCGGCTCACCACAACCTCCGCCTCCCAGGTTCAAGCGATTCTCCTGCCTCAGCCTCCCAGGTAGCTGGGATTACAGGCCCCCACCACCATGCCTGGCTAATTTTGTATTTTTAGTAGAGACGGGGTTTCTCCATGTTGGTCAGACTGGTCTCGAACTCCTGACCTCAGGTGATCCGCCTGCCTCGGCCTCCCAAAGTGCTGGGATAACAGGCTTGAGCCACCATGCCCCGCCCCAGTGTTTCACACTCAACAAAAAAAGAAAATTAAATGCATCTGGTACTATTTATGTGCTCATATAACCCATTTTATGAATACTTCTATATATTTTTCACAGGCTTTTCCTCTCTAAGACCCTGGACCGAGAGGGCAAGGACAATACCTTTTCCTCTATCTCCATACAAGATCTAATTCTACCTGTGAAGTGGCAGTGGGAGAACAGGCTCTTTACCTGAGTAGAAGAGAAGCCCCCATATGCATTCCGTTGCTTGGCCAACCAAGCCACTATGCTAGTGGCCTTGGCTATCTCCTTTTGAGTCAGGCTGGGCTTGGTAAGCTGGGCCAACAATGCATATGCTGTAACTTCCACATCTAGAGCCACAGGCTCAGACCAAGGGCTGGCATTCGATGATGGAGTAGGTTTGTGGCTCCAGTGAATGGATTCTCCTATGGAAAAAGAAACATAACTAGGATGTCCTTAGAAGGAACTGGCTTTCCCACATTCACTTTGTAAATGCAGCATCTTAGAGCAGAGAAGGTACCAAATGAGAATTAAACAGAGTAGAAAAAAATGTCTTAGATGTAGCTGATTCATTGACCTTGATGTAAATGCAAGGATGCCTGTGTGCGCGTGTGTGTAAAGCTAGAAGCATCAAGAAATGTTCCTGCCTCCAGCAATTACATGAAAACCAGCCTTGTTAATTTATCAGTTTTGATGTTAATGGAAATAGGTAAATAGAAGCTTCTTCCAAGAATCTCTGTGTTTGGGGGCAATTTTTGTTTGCTTACAGTTTTATGAAATTTTCAGCATTTATTTTATTTAATCAAAGATTTAGGCTGGGCGTGGTGACTCACGCCTATAATCTCAGCACTTTGGGAGGCCAAGGTGGGCAGATCACCTGAGGTCGGGAGTTCGAGACCAGCCTGACCAATATGGAGAAACCCCATCTCTACTAAAAATACAAAATTCACTGGGTGTGGTGGCAAATGCCTCTAATCCCAGCTACTTGGGAGGCTGAGGCAGAAGAATCGTTTGAACCCAGGAGGTGGAGGTTGCGGTGAGCAAAGATCGCCCCATTGCACTCCAGCTTAGGCAACAAGAGTGAAACTCCATCTAAAAAAACGAACAACAAACAAAAAAGATTCAACATTTTAAGTAGAACAAAAATGGCAGAGCATATGTAAGAATTCGAGAAACCATGAAGAAATGCTAATGAGGCCAACTATATGAAATATGCTTAGAAGGCAGTCCAATGATGGCGGGCCTCTGTAGTCCCAGCTACTCGGGAGGCTGAGGCAGGAGAATGGTGTGAACCCGGGAGGTGGAGCTTGCAGTGAGCTGAGATCACACCACGGCACTCCAGCCTGGGTGACAGAGCAACACTCCGTCTCAAAAAAAAAAAAAAAAAAAAAAGGACATAAGACCAAAAGAAACCTCTGTGACAGCCAAGATGACAGTTAACAGATAACTTGAAGAAAAAATAAAATAACAAATGGAAATGAGAAGGGTATAAGTTAGAAGACTAATTAAACAGAATTTTAGGGATAATAAGTAACCACAGAAGGGCAATCTAATTGGAAAAATGTAATAGGAAACGTGAGCTTGCAATACAAGATAATGGAAAAGAGATCATCACAATAAATCAATATATGGTGGAACAGGTCCCATTGTCTCAGACACACATTTCATGACTAGAGTTTCTTACACACAAGAGGAAAAGCTACCCCACCCCCTATGAGAGGACAGTTCAGCCATGACACTCATATAAATGAAGGTTGAGACTGCATTTCTGCCTGGAAGAATAATTTTAAATACACAGTCAGATAAATGAAATGCATTACAAGATCCGTCATAACTTCAAATAGTATTCTAAATACATTTAAAGTGGTCCAGGCCAGGTGCAATGGCTCACGTTTACAATTCAGCACTTTGGGAGGCCAAGTAGGGTAGATCACTTGAGGTCAGGATTCTGAGACCAGCCTGGCCAACATGGTGAAACTCCGTTTCTACTAAAAATACAAAAATACAAAAATTAGCCAGTGTGGTGGCAGGCACCTGTAGTCCCAGCTACTTGAGAGGCTGAGGCAGGAGAATCACTTGAATCCGGGAGGCAGAGGCTGCAGTGAGCCAAGATTGCACCACTGCACTCCAGCCTGGGCACCAGAGCAAGGCACCATCTCAAAAAAATAAAAAGTAAAATAAAAATTAAAAAAATATTTAAAGTGGTCCTACATCAAAGAACTTTCAAAGATCTCCAAAAGGCTAATTCCACAATGACAATATACTTTCTGACTAGCTTCTTCAATGTAGTTTCTCTTCACATTAGAAGTATAAAAATGTGGCCAGGCATGGTGGCTCATGCCTGTAATCCCACGGGCAGATCACATGAGGTCAAGAATTCGAGTCCAGCCTGGTCAACATAGTGAAACCCCTTCTCTACTAAAAATACAAAAATCAGCTGGGCATGATGGCACATGCCTGTAATTCCAGCTACTCGGGAGGCTGAGGCAGGAGAATTGGTTGAACTTGGGAGGCAGAGGTTGCAGTGAGCCGAGATCACGCTATTGCAATCCAGCCTGGGCAACAAGAGAGAAACTCGGTCTCAGAAAAAGAAAAAAAGGTATAAAATGCCCTTTGAGCACTTGCATGTGTTTCTCACAAACTTCTCAACAATAATTTTATGACTTAATAACTGTTACTAAAATGAATCCTAGAGTTCATGTGTGGGACAGAGGATACTAAGGAGATTATAGATAACTCACAGCTTACGTTCACAATTTCAAACAACTCTTAACAGTACCAACATACCTGAGATGATAGCCTGTTGATCTAACTGTCTAAGGAGAATGTTTCTGATGTCCATTTCCCCAGCCAGGGAGAAAATGTAAGCCAACAGGGCCTGTGTGTAGAGGCTGGTGGTGGTGGTGGCCGAATTCTTGAGACATTGTAGACCCTGGCTCACCATTGGGTCCTAAAAAGTGAAGAAGAAGACCATAACTTATAAGGCATTCCTTAAAAAATGGGAAGTAATCAGGGAATCATCTTATCCTTCTTGACCTTAAAAGGGTGACTAGGGACAAAGATGGGTCAGTGTCTCTAGGAATAGGCATGAGAAGGAGGGTATCAAGAGGAGGAGCCAGAAGAACTTACATCTACGTCCTTTCCCATCTCCAGCAATGCAGCTGTAACATATGCAGTCAAGGAGACCTCATCATCAACACCGCCCTAGAGACAAACAGGGAGACAGTGAGTCAGGGCAGCAGGCAGCAGCTGCAAGAATTATGTGCAGATTGCAAAACGACATCCCCTCTGAATAGATGAATTATTTTTAAAAAGAAAAAGGTAATAAAGAAAGCTCTTCTTTCCACAGACTTTCTGCAGCTCAAGCCTCCAGGACACACAAAGAGGGAATGGGTTGGACTTCAGTAACTGCAGAGCCTTAAACAGCCTGCAGGAGGCAGCACGTGGACCTCAGCTGAGTGGGTGTTGAAGAAACCGGAGAGGAGTTAAGAAGCATAAGAGGTTTAAAGAAGGGGGGAATAAGGAGAGAATCTGCTGCGTCACCTCACACACAGCTCCCATCAAGCAGCACAACGCCCAGCCCTTCTCCAGGGGAGATTAGGTGAGACCTTCCCTTCTTATTGCCTTTCCCAGAAATACCAAAGCAAATTTTAAAAAATATCAAATCAAATTATTATCCTCATTCTATAGATAAGAAAGCAAACACTTAACAAGATTAAATAGCTTGTGGCCAGGCATGGTGGCTCATGCCTATTATTCCAGCTTGAAGCCAAGCCGGTGGGGAGGATCCCTTGAGCTCAGGAGTTTGAGGCCAACCTGGGCAACACGGTAAAACCCCATCTCTACAAAATGTACAAAAATTAGCCAGGTGTGGTGGCATGCGGATCCGTGGTCCCAGCTATTCAGGAAACTAAAGTAGGAGGATCATCTGAGCCTGGGGAGGTCAAGGCTGCAGTGAGCCATGATCATGTCACTGCACTTCAGCCTGGGTGACAGAGTGAGACCCTGTCTCAAAAAGATAAATAAGTAAATAAATAAAAAAGATTCAGCCGGGTGCGGTGGCTCACACCTGTAATCTCAGCACTTTGGGAGGCTGAGGCGGGCAGATTACCTGAGGTCAGGAGTTCAAGACCAGCCTGGCCAACGTGGTGAAACTACGTCTCTACTAAAAATACAAAAATTAGCCGGCCATGGTGACACATGCCTGTAATCCCATCTGCTCAGGACGATGAGGCAGGAGAATCGCTTGAGCCTGGGAGACGGAGCTTGCAGTGAGCCAAGATTGCTCCACTGCACTCCAGCCTGGCCAACAGAGCAAGACTGTCTCAAAAATAAATAAATACATAAATAAAAAGATGAAATAGCTTGCTCATGGTTACATGGCTCATCTGCAGCAGGACTGGAATTTGAACCCAGGACATTTAATTCCAGAGTTCATGTGCCAAACCACGAACCTTGGCTACACAGAGGATGGATTTCTCAATGGACTGGCCTCCTCCCATAAGAAAGTAGGAAGAGGCTGGGTGCATGTGGGTTACACCTGTAATCCCAGCACTTTGGGAGGTCAAGGCGGGTGGATCACTTGAGGCCAGGAGTTTAAGACCAGCCTGGCCAACATGGTGAAACCCCATCTCTACTAAAAATACAAAACTTAGCCAGGCGCGGTGGCGCATGCCTATAGCCCTAGCTGCTCAGGAGGCTGAGGATCACTTGAGCCCAGGAGGTGAAGGTTGCAGTGAGCTGGGATTTTGCAACTACACTCCAGCCTGTGCAACAGAGCGAGACTCTGTCTCAAAAAAAAAAAAAAAGGAAAAAAGGAAGAATACCTCTGGGATCTTGCTCTAGTCAAGTCCTTTATTTCAGTAGAGACGGGGTTTCACCATGTTGGTCAGGCTGGTCTCAAACTCCTGAACTCATGATCCACCTGCCTCAGCCTCCCAGAGTGCTGGGATTACAGGCATGAGCCACTGTGCCCAGCCCCCAGGTATATTTCATACAGTGTATAAGAGAAGATGAAGACGAGAACTTAGGGGAGACTAATAAGATCCTGCAGAGGAAGTCAAATGAATCCTATAAAGAGATTTTTTTTTTTTTTAACACTCAAGATTTTTAATCCTTGCTCTGGAATAACAATGTAAGTGATTTCTCTAGAAAAGTTTATACAAGTCTTTCTTGCACTGAGCGTGTTCTGAATGGAACGAGTTTTCCTGCAGGATCTACGCCTCACCCTGTTTGGGACAGGTACAGGCAATAGTGAACAGAAGAGAGCAGTGCCTCTGGAGTGCAACTGCCGTGCTTCAAATCTCAGTCCTGACACTTATTAGCATGTACCTTGGGCAATTTACTTAGTCTCCATCCCTTAGTTTCTTCATCTGTAAAATGGGATTAATAATGACATACCAATACCTAGCTCACTGATTTGTTGTAAACATTAAATAATGTCAAATAAACCACGTGCCTAGAACAGTGCTCAGCAGAGTAAACTTCTTACAAAAGACGCTGGGCTGCCTACGAGTCCTCGCCACAGGAAATGGCTTTCCCATATGCATTTGGTGACGTAGTAAGAGGCCCAGAGATCTTTTAGTCCAGTAGTCTCAAATTTCAGTGTGTATTAGAATCATCCGGACGGCTTGTGAAAACACAAATTTCTGGCCCACCCTCCCAGAGTTCATCATTCAGTAGATGTGCACTGGGAGTCAGAATCTGCATTTCCAACAAGTTGCCAGGCGATGCTGATGCTCCTGATCTGGGAACTATGCTTTGAGAACCATGCTCCAGTCCACATTCTCTCTCTCTCTCTCTCCTTTCTTTTTTCTTTTTTATTTACTTATTTTTTTGAGGCAGGGTCTCACTCTATCACCCAGGCTGGGTGCAGTGGTGCAATCACGGCTCACTGCAGGCTTGACCCCTGGGTTCAAGTGATCCTCCCACCTCAACCACCCAAGTAGTTGGGACTACAGGCATGCACTAACATTCCTGAATAATTTTTCATATTTTTTTTGTAGAGATGGGGTTTCCCCATGTTGCCCAGGGTGGTCTCAAACTCCCGGGCCCAAACAATCTGCCCGCCTTGGCCTCCCAAAGTGTTGGGATTACAGGCATGAGCCACCGCACCCAGCCTTCATCTGTATTCTCATTCTACAGACATGAAAACTGAGGCCCAGACCTCTAAGCATTTTGACCACGGACACCCAGAGCCACAGTGGAAACCAGAAGAAAACTGATTCCCAGGCCAGTGCTGTTTTGCTTCTGCTTGGTCAGAGGTGTGAGGTCCTTTGAGACAGTGGCCGGCTGCAGGCCCCTGGACAGATCCGCACCTTCATAGCTGTGTGAAGGAGAGTTCCCACGTTGGCATAGCAGCCGCTGAGGAGCTGGTTTCCTGCCATCCACTTGAGAGCATCCTGGATGTTCTTGGGATCAATGAAGATGAATTTCTGAGCTTGGCCAAAGCATTCTGTGACAAAGGCTGTCAGCCTACGCGGGTAAAGAGGAAAATGTGGCATGAAGGTGAATTTCCAGGTGAGGGTGCAATCATTTTTTCACGTATTTGGGTGCATACTTCCAGAAGGGGAGCTGAGGGAACATATGCCACAGCAGGCCTAGAAAACAGAGGCATGAATGGGCACCAGTGAGGACAAGAACAGGGGAGGCACAAGCTCAGGGAGAAGATCGAGGGACTTGACCATCCATGAGGGTGAACTAAGCAGTATTAAAGAGGTAGAAGACTGAGTGCAGGAAGGAATGGGGTGAAGGGGAGAGGTGTTGGAATAGTTCCAGAGGGCTCAGGAATTACGCTCCAGAGTACACAACTCATTGGGAATTGGGCGACATTACCATGTGTTTCCATTTCCATCTCGCTCCCCAAAGGCACTGTATGAGCCATTGCTGTGTTTGTACGTCAGCTCCTTCTGGTACCCTGGGAAGCCAAATGTGGTTTTAGATCACAGTGACAACTTCAAAAGACACCGCCGTGCTTTTCAAGGATATGGGACACTTCAGGGGCTGGAGTTCCCTGTATCTTATCCATCTGTCATAGGGCCTAGTGGAGGAGAGTGTCCAAGAAAGAAAGATTGAACCAACTTACCTATCTCCAGGAAAGCCACTGCCCGAGACCTGATTTCGTCCGTCAGCAGCCCTGCCTTCTCCAGGTACTGCAAGACATAGATGATGGGAGCAAACAACACCATGTTCTGCTCGCCACAGCCACTGAGCATCTGCACCAGACCATCTAGGTTCTGCAGGGCTGTGCCCATGATGTCTCCTGGGATCCAAAAGGAGAGAGAGAAGGTGGGGGTACAGAGAAGAAGGAACCCTCTAAGAGTTATCATCATTCACTTAACAAACACGTATTAGCTATCATTTAGTAAGTACCTACTATGTGCCCTGGGAAGACAACAGTAAATCAAACTCAGTCTCTACCCTCAAAGAACTCACAGAGGAGCAAACCATTACAACACATTACAATTTTTATTCCTTATAGACAATTTTAATACAGTACTACAATATCGTACTGGATATGTAGGAGGTGCTAGAGGACACAGAGAGGTGCATAGGCTGTCTAAGAGAGTTCAGGGCTTTTAAGAAGACATGTCACTGAGCTGACGAGTGATGTGACAAAACTTACATCACTTAGGCTCAATCTCTAAGCTCCTCTACCACTGCACATACGTTCCTCACCCTCCAAATCACCAAGTTTCTCTAAAACAGAGTCCTGACACTCTTCTCCAAGTTGTCACTGACCCCTTCCTATGCTTCCCAAGCCAGTGAGCCTGACATACGTGACTCATTAGCATCTGCGCTGTAGCCAACGAGCTCCATTCCAATCTATAAATGTGTCCTGAATGTCAACTATGTTGCAGGAACCGTACTAGGAACAGAAAAGAAAAAGATGTGGCCCTTGCTCTTCAGGAGACCCCAACACAGTGTGGAAGACAGACATAGACACTGAACTCTAATAGAACAAGACAAGCGCTATGTCAGACTGATGAATAAAATAGACAAAACAGAGACGTTGTGACTGCAAAGGATCTCAACAGAGGGCGAGGGAGTAAAGAAAGAGCGTGACGTTCACAGGGCTCCTACCACATGCTCGATACTGTGCTGGGAACTTTATATTGCACTTGATCTTTACACCAGTCTGAGAGGTAGGTTATTATTACCGTTTTACAGAAGCGGAAAGAAGGTCCAGAACTGTTCACTAACTTGTTCAGGGTCACACGGCTACTAAATGACAGGTTAGATATGATTTTTAAGTTCATGCTTTTCAATCCGCTTCCTCCCTTGCCCAAAACAGTAAGTGTGCTGCCTATTGTAAATATGGTTGTATCTTCTCTAAACTATACCCAAATTCCTCATTTCTAAAAACGACTGCTGCAAATATTTTGTCTTCCCTTCACCCGATTTATAGACCGTCTAAACCTAAATACGTATCAAGCTTCAGTGACCTTAACTTCTTCCTACCCTGACTCCTTTTTTTTTTTTTTGAGATGGAGTCTTGCCCTGTCGCCCAGGCTAGAGTGCAGTGGTGTGATCTCGGCTCACTGCAAGCTCCGCCTCCCGGGTTCACGCCATTCTCCTGCCTCAGCCTCCCAAGTAGCTGGGACTACAGGCGCCCGCCACCAGGCCTGGCTAATTTTTTTTTTGTAATTTTTGTAGAGACGGGGTTTCACCATGTTAGTGAGGATGGTCTCGATCCCCTGACCTCGTGATCTGCCCGCCTCGGCCTCCCAAAGTGCTGGGATTACAGGCGTGAGCCACACGCCTGGCATCCTTTCCATTTTTAACTAGAATACAAGTCTAATCCCATCTGTATTGTTGCCTACACTGTATTTCCCTCCTATATAAAATACGCTCTTTTTCCTTCAATCACTTGTCATTAGTCACACTCTCCAGATAGGTCCGCATGTCCCGCCCCACCCCACACCTTTGCAGCCTCCATTCTCCCTTTCGTTTCTGAGCCAAGAATCTCTAACTGCTTACCCAGAACCGTAACATAAGCCTTGGTCGAGTCAGGAACAACATCCACTGGGAGGTCCAGGGAGACAGATTCAGATGCCACCTTTCCTGTGAGAGGCAGAAAAAAGGTGACACAATAGATTATGGGGAATGGCAGGGGTTCTGAAGCCAAAATCGTAGAAGAACTTTCTATAATCCAGGGATTTCTGTGCTCGGTGCTTTCTCTGGGATGCAGAAAGCACTGGGTACTATTCATAGTGATCTTGCTGAAAATAAATTCCACAGAGAGTCATCATCGTGCTGCACACTTTCTCTTCTTCCTCCTGCCTCCCAGTTAATCAGCCCCATGAGGAATGGCACCCCAGACTCTCCTGTTCCTTCTGGTCCTGTGCATTCCTCCTTTTGCCTATGAAAATCTCCTGTCGCCAGATGCGCTGGCTCACGCCTGTAATCCCAGCACTTTGGGAGGCCGAGGTGGGTGGCTCACAAGTTCAGGAGTTCGAGACCAGCCTGGCCAATATGGTGAAACCCTGTCTCTACTAAAAATACAAAAATTAGCCGGGCATGGTGGCATGCACCTGTAGTCCCAGCTACTCAGGAGACTGAGGCAAGAGAATTACTTGAACCTGGGAGGCAGAGGTTACAATGAGCTGAGATCATGCCACTGCAATCCTGCCTGGAGGATGGAGCGAGACTCCATATCAAAAAGGGGGAAAAAAAAAAGAAAAGAAAAGAAAAGAAAATCTCCTGCCCTCTAAGGGAATTCTCATCACCAATCCTGCTCTGAGTCCACCCACCTTTTGGGCACAGCAATGAGCTGTGTGTCTTCTCCACCAGGACTCCTTCAGGCTGGCATGAAGAGAGACACAGATAAAACAACAAAGATGAATGTCAGGAGAGATGACACTAAAGGAAAGGGAAGGGAGGCCCCTCGCTGTGCCCCCAGGGCTTCCCCCAGAACTGCAGAGAAGAGCTTCTCATTGAAGCTCAGAAGAACTCCGTGCCAACCAAGGATGGGCCCTTTCTGTAAAGTTCTTTCTGGGCAAGCGCTAGAGCCAAAGACACAATTAGGCAACTTCTAAGGGGCAAGACTGACAATGGGCTTCATGACGGGACAAAAAAGGCAGCTATTGATGAAGACAGACATTTTAATCAGGGAAACTAACATTCACTGAGTGCCTATGATGTGCCAGGTTTTAGGTGCTTTCATAGGCCATGGGTGTAGATTAGGCAAATGTTCAAGGAGCCAGGGAAGGAGAAAGTTGAAGCTGCCCGATTGGACTGGAGTACGGTTGCTGTGAGAGACGAACTCGCAGCAAGAGGAGATGTTGAGCATCCCTCGGTTGGTTGCTGTCTCGACCTCTGAAGCAAACTCACTTTGACGAGAACTGGCTTGATGAGCGTGTCACTCCGGCCCTTTTGGGGAACAAACCCCTTCTGGCCCCTACATGGTTCATTGCTGTCCAGAATCTTTGTACTAATAGTAAAGTTAATGTGACTTGAGAGAAAGAAGGAGAAGGGAAGCCATTAGCCCTATTGCCAGAGGTACCAGCGAGGTCCGTTCCCATTTGGATCAGCATTTCTGAAACTTTAATGGGGATCTTGCTCCAGTGCAAACTCTGCTGCCACAGACCTGGGGTGGGGCCTACATCCTGCATTTCTAACAAGCTCCCAGGTGATGCCGGAGAGGCTAGTCCAGTGTGGTAAGTAACCTCTGAGGACCCTCAGAGATCCTTGCACCCTGATATTTGCATCCCATTGAGTGTGGGCTGGATTGAGCGACTCACTTCTGTTAAAGAGAACAGGGCGAAAGTAATGACTCTTCTGAGATTAGGTTACAAAAAGACTGCAGCTTCCATCTTGGGTGCACCCCTTTTCTCCAACTGCTTGCTCTGGGGAAGACAGCTGTGGTGTGATGACGCAGCCCAGTGGAGAGATTCATGTGATGAGATACTGAGTGAGGCCCCTAGCCAACAGCTGAGGTCAAGAACTGTGTCCTTCAGTCTAGCAGGCTGTGAGGATCAGAGACTTTGGGATGAGTTTGAAAAATCAATCCTCTCCTAGTCGAGTCTTCAGATCAAACCACAGCCCTCACTGACAGCTTGAGTGCAACCTCATGAGATACCTTAAGCCAGAAGTACCCAGCTAAGCTGCACCCGGATTAATGATCCATAGAATCTGTTTGATAATAAATGTTTGTCCTTTTAAGACACTTAAGTTTTACAATAATTTGTCAAGCAGCATGAGATAACTCATACATATGAAGATCAAACTTTGAGTTGCAAGGACTTCACCTATGAGTGACTGACATCCCATAGGGTTGGGGGTGAGGATTAAATGAGTTAAAAGTGAGGTGACTCATTCTTGTAATCCCAGTACTTTGGGAGGGTGAGGTGGGAGAATCGCTTCAACCCAGGAGTTGGAGAGCAGCCTGGGACACATAGCAAGACCCCTTCTCTGCCAATTGAATTAGCCAGGCATGGTGGTAAAATGAGCCTATAGTCCCAGCTACTCTGGGAGGCCTAGGTGAGAGGATCACTTGAGCCTGGGAGGTTGAGGCTGCAGTGAGCCATGACCACACCACTGTATTCCAGCTTAGATGACAGAGTAAAATCTTGTCTCTCTAAAAAAAATAAAAGGCCAGGTGCAGTGGCTCACACCTGTAATCCCAGAACTTTGGGAGGCCGAGGCAAGCAGGTCACCTGAGGTCAGGAGTTTGAGACCAGCCTGGCCAACATGGCAAAACCCCATCTCTACTAAAAATACAAAAATTAGCCAGGTGGGGTGGCACGCAACTGTAATCCCAGCTACTTGGGAGGTTTGGCAGGGGAATCACTTGAACCAGGGAGGTGGAGGTTGCAGTAAGCCCAGATTGCGCTGTTGCACACCAGCCTGGGCAACAGAGTGAGACTTCCTCTCAAAAACAAATAAATAAAATAAAAATTAATTAATCAACCAATTTAATGAGTTAATATACATAAAGCAGTTAGAATAGTGCCTGGCCCAGGGACTCTTATAGTAAGTCCTTGATTAGTTACATGACCATGTATTCCTTGTCCAGCTACACATATTAAAAGCTCTCCCTTTCAAACTCAAAATATTCCTATTTGAATAAATTTGGTCACCTATCAAACAGTGTTTGTGTATTGACTTACAACAGCCTTAGGAGGGAGAAAAATAGAGGTAAATAAAGCAAAGAGGGAGGAGGAAGCAAAACAGATGTGGCAGAGAAAAAAGACCCAGTGCTTAGTCACTGGGCTTCTGCTGCAGGCTTTCCTCGCCCGTCTACCGCTTCCCTCTCTTACCCAATTTGACAGCCGTGATGTTCCAGTGATAGGTTTTAGCTTCATTAGCACAGAGACAGCTGGAGATCTGAGAATCTGCCCGTGATTCTAGCTGGTACTCATGCGATTTAGCCAGGTCAGTCTGAACCTAAGGAGGAGGTTTAAGAGACAAAGGGTCCAAACGAAGGAGGTAATGCATAGAGGCCTGGGAAACCTGGGGGCCGAGATACTGACATCTCCCCTCTTTCCCAGGGAAAATAGGGATGCTTCCAATTTAGACACAAACTTATGCAGGAAGCGTGATTCCAGGGCTGACACCTGATTCCTATATCCCCAGCTCTCACCCTGATGCAATCCTTTAGGTAATTGAAGATGGTGGCAGTAAGACGAAAGGATTCCCCACGGACTACTGAGTAAGGGAGAGTCAGGTCCACAAAGAATGGCTTGAAAGCAGTTAGTCCAACAGTGGGTGAAAGCCCGAAGCCTCTCGACTGGGAGGTGCAGAAACTCATCGCCTTCCACTCGGTGATGGCGTCAGGAACTGTGACGTGGACCGCCTCCTTCCCGGAGTTACTGTGAGAACACAAGGACCCTGGTGAGGCAGATGCAGCATGGGGCAAGGAGAACATTTGTGAATTAAGCCACAAATTCGGTGGGGTGTGCTGGTTCATGCTTGTAATCCCAGGTCTTTGAGAGGCTGAGGTGAGCAGATGGCTTCAGCCCAGCAGTTTGAGGCCAGCCTGGGAAACATAGCGAGACCCTATTTCTACCAAAATTTAAAAATTAGCCAGGTGTGGTGGTGCATGACTGTAGTCCCAGCTACTTAGGAGGCTGAGGCAGGAGGATGGCTTGAGCCCAGGAGTTCGAGGCTGCAGTGAGCTATGATTGCGCCACTGCACTGCAGCCTGGGTGTCAGGGCAAGACCCTGTCCAAAAAAAAAAAAAAAAAAAGCTACAAATTCATCTGCGGAAGTGAATTGTTAGTGTTGTTGTGTGGGGAGAAGTAAAGAGGCAACTGAAGAGGTGAGTTTCAGTGTGAATCCTCCAGTGAGTGAGGCTGCACTCATATGGAGGAGGGGGACTGTGTGGGGAGTCAGGGGTGGGCATCTCTGTGCAAGCACATCTGACAGAGAGGCTGGTGCCCTCTGAGTCTGTGAGGATGTGTGTTCTCAGGGCTTGTCAAAATGGACATGCAAGCAGTGGACAAAAACTGATGTCAATACGTACCTTTAAATGTGTGTGGTTCAGTAGTAAGAACACAGGGCCTGCAATGCGTGAGTGTGGAACTGTGTGGATTTGTTTTGAGTGGTTGTATACGAATGCATAAGAATTCAGGTAGGCTGGGCACGGTGGCTCACACCTGTAATCCCAACATTTTGGGAGGCCGAGGCGGGTGGATCACTTGAGGCCAGGAGTTCGAGACCAGCCTGGCCAACATGGCAAAACCCTGCCTCTACTAAAAATACAAAAATTAGCCAGGTGTGCTGGCAGGCGCCTATAGTCCCAGCTACTTGGGAGGCTGAGGCACAAGCATCACTTGAACCTAGGAGGTTGAGGCCTACAGTGAGCCAAAATCGTGCCACTGCACTCCAGCCTGGGTGACAGAGCATGACTGTCTCAAAAAAAAAAAAAAAAAAAAGAATTCAGGAAAATAAATAAATTCCCACACTCCATCAAGCTTTCGTTGCTTAAGACTTAGAGCCATTAGGAACACATCTGATTCTGAGTTTTGTACAGGCTCTACGTTGTAGAATCTTACGTTTTTTTCTGGTTGTTGTTGTTGTTCTGCTTTGTCACCCAGGCTGGAGTGCAGTGATGTGATCTTGCTTCACTGCAGCCTCCACCTCCCAGACTCAAGTGATCCTTCCACTTCAGCCTCCCGAGTAGGACACAACTACCACCTGGCTAATTTTTAAAATTTCTTTTGTAGAGACAGAAGCTCATTATGTTGCCCAGGCTGGTCTTGAACTCCTGGTCTCAAGTGATCCTCTCTCCTCAATCTCCCAAAGTGCTGGGATTACAGGCATGAGCCATGCACCTGGACCTTTACTGTACTTTTGAGTCATCACTTACCCAATAGGAAACAGATCCCAGAGCCAGGTCTCCGGGAAGTACTGGCGGACCTGAGAATCCTCTGCTTGACGTGAAGAAGTTGATGACGCAAAAGCCTCTGGATGACCACCACCTGCTGATGAAATTGAGAATATGAAAACTTTAGGAAACAGGAGACTTCTTGTTGTGACATAAATTGGGATGGAGGGATTACTAGAAAGAAATTTAGAGGGAAGCAGAGAAAATCCAGTCAGAGGCAAGGAGGAAGGACCAAAGAGGAACTAACTAGTCACAAAGGCCATCGAGGGAAGTGATAGCCAAGGGGGTTTGGCCAGGGAATCTATACATAAGCTTCAGGCTTCAAAAGCTCTCCCCAGAGACAGAACCCTCGGGAAACTTCCTGTATCTGTGACCCACAACCCATTAGCATTCTCAGGCTAGAGGCTCAGTGCAAGAACAGGATGCAAAGAGGAAATATGCAGAGTTCCAGGACTGTTAACATCTCAGAGAATCCACACACCACAGAGATGGCTTACCGCCCATGGCAGTGCTGTATTCTGGAGATCTGTAACTGCAATCTACTGGCTTCTTGATTTTGGCATTGGACAGTATTTTCAGGCCCATGTCCTGATAGGCATCAGAGAAATAAGTATTAAGGTGGTCCCTTCCCCAACTACAAGGGCTACTGCCCAGGAATTCCACCATCAAAGAGTTGAAACAAAACATTCTTTTTGAATTAATGGTGAAACTGGGTGTTCTTACCCGAAACTCAGCCACTGAGACTGGTTGGCTTCTGTTCCAACTAGCATGAGAGGCTTCAAGTTAAACTTATTTCATCATTACATACATTTAATGGTTCTTCCAAATATTATTCACTGTGTCTTTATTATTTGACTTACACTCTGAACGTGCTGAGGGTAGGGACCATATCAGTGTACTCAATTCAACAAAAGTACAATGAGCATTATGAGGGGTCGGGCATTAGAGAGAATACAAAGATGAACAAGACCTAGTTCCTGACCTCAAGGACCTCCTGGTCAGACTTGGGTCACACAGCATCCCAAATCCTGCTCATAGAACAGGTGCAAATTATTTTTTATAATAATGGTAAGAGATCTCTGGTCTACCTTCCCTAATTTTCCCTCCTGATTGATCTCATGAAAATCAGTGATTGGGGACAACAAAAGAGGAAGACTAGGTCTAAACTCTCTCACAGTGGTTCTCTTCAATGCAATTGGACATCTTCTTCAAGCGTAAGAGCCAACAGAGGCCACCTTACACGTCAGAAGCTTCTTTCAAGATTTGGTTCCCATCAGTGCCCATATGAGTCTCTCTGCTTTCTTAGATATGAACTTTCCTTTGCCCCTTCCCACCACCATCTTTCCCATAAGAACAAAATGGGTAAGAAGACGTACCTGGAAAAAGCTGAAGAGGTCCGTGCCTTCAGAGAACCAGGGCCTCCAGATAACGGAACGCTGGCTCGAATGCCCTTGGGGCACTGGGTCAATGAGGGGCTGAGGAAAGTCCCATGGGCCAGACACTGGACACTGATCATATTCAGCCACTTGATAGGGGTAGTGACCATACCAGAATGGAAACATCCCATAGACCTGGGACAAGAGGGGGAAAGGAAATAAAGCATTGATATAGTGACATCAGTTGAGAGACTTCTCTCAGATTCTGGTGCTCAGTTTACTACTCCTGTATCATTTCTCTTTATTACTCCAGAATTATTTTTATTTTTTTATCATAATTACCTTTCTCCCTTTCTAAAACATTAACCTCTATCTCACCTATTTTTTTCATAATCCTATCCCCTATTTCATTCTCTCTCTTGTTTTTTTTTTTTATTTTTTATTTTTTTTTTTTTGGGAGACGGAGTCTTGCTGTGTCGCCCAGGATGGAGTGCAGTGGGATGATCTCGGTTCACTGCAACCTCTGCCTCCCACATTCAAGCAATTCTCCTGCCTCAGCCCCCTGAGTAGCTGGGATTATAGATGCCGGCCACCACACCCAGCTAATTTTTGTATTTTTAGTAGAGACAGGGTTTCACCATGTTGGTCAGGCTGGTCTCGAACCCCTGACTTCAGGTGATCCGCCCGCCTCAGCCTCCTAAAGTTCTGGGATTACAGGCTCATTCTCTTTTCTTATCTCTGCGTTCATACTAACCATGCCTTCTCTTATCCTTTCTTTTTTTTGGTTTTTGTTTTTTTGAGACGGACTTTTGCTTTTGTTGCCCAGACTGGAGGGCAGTGACTCGATCTTGCTCACCGCAACTTCTGCGTCCCGGGTTCAAGTGACTCTCCTGCCTCAGCCTCCCCAGGGTGACAGGCATGTGCCACCATGCCCGGCTCATTTCCTTTTCTTTTTCTTTTTGTATTTTTAATAGAGACAGAGTTTCTCCATGTTGGCCAGGCTGGTCTCGAACTCCCGACCTCAGGTGATCTGCCTGCCTCAGCCTCAAAAAGTGTTGGGATTACAGGTGTGAGCCACTGCACCCAGCCCTCTTACCCTTTCTAACTTCATTTTTACACCAGTCTTTTTTACCACCTTATGGCAGTGCATTATTTCCCTAAGACTCTCTCCACTGCCTGACACCTACCTCTTAATTGTCTTCTCCATCAACTCCCTCTTCCCACTCTGTCCGCAGACAGTTACTCACAGAACGGTTGCTCAGCTCTCTCTCCGGCCTAAGCAGTAAGACACTCTCATCCACCGCCCGGAGGGCACACAGGGATCCAGGAGCTGCCTGCAGCTGTAGCTCCACTTCTGCTCCTGGAAGCTGCTGGGAAGGGGAGAAGCCAAGGGAAACCTGGGGAAGGGAAAGGTATAACTTGGGGATCAGGTCAGCCTGGAAAGGAGGGGAAACAACATAATTTGGGTCATCAGCAAATATGCCCCAGCTACGACACCCAACCCATTCTTTCACTTTTGTACTTATCTTTCTTTGTAAAGTCTAACTCTTCAGGACTTGTATGCCATGATGGAGTGGGGAAACGTGAGCAGCACAGTACAAGGACAGAGAAAGTTTATAAGACAAAAAGTAGACAGAGCATGTGGAATAACTGTATAGAACATGTGGCTTCCCAGTATGGCTCTTTTTTTTTTTTTAAATAGAGACAGGGTCACACCTATAATCCCAGCACCTTGGGAGGCCAAGGCAGGTGGATCACCTGAGGTCAGGAGTTCAAGACTAGCTTGGCCAACATGGTGAAACCCTGTCTCTATTAAAAATACAAAAAAAAAAAAATTAGCCAGGCATGGTGGTACATACCTATCATCCCGGCTACTTGGGAGTCTGAGGCGAGAGAATCGCTTGAACACAGGAGGTGGTGGTTGCAGTGAGCCGTGATTGCACCATTGCACTCCAGCCTGGGCAACAAGAGCAAAACTCTGTCTCAAAAAAAAAAAAAAAGAGAGAGACAGGGTCTTGCTCTGCAGCCTTGAACTCCTGGGCGCAAGTGACAATCCTGCTTCAGCCTTCAGACTAGCTGGGACTACAGGTATGCATCACCACACCCAGATAATTTTTTTTTTTTTTTTTTTTTTTTTTTGAGACAGAGTCTCACTCTGTCACTCAGGCTGGAGTGTAACGGTGTGATCTTTGCTCACTGCAACCTCCATCTCCTGGGTTCATGTAATTCGCCTGCCTCAGCCTCCCACGTAGCTGGGATTACAGGCACCCACCACCATGCTTGGCTAATTTTTGTATTTTTAGTAAAGATGGGGTTTCACCATGTTGGCCAGGCTGGCCTTGAACTCGTGACATCAGGTGATCCACCCACCTCGGCCTCCCAAAGTGCTGCACACCCAGCTAATTAAAAAAATTTTTTTGTACGGACAGAATCTTGCTGTGTTGTCCAGGTTGGTCTTGAACCCATGACCTAAAGAAATCCCTCTGCCTTGGCCTCCCAAAGCACTGGGATTACAGGAGTGAGCCACAGTACCTCATCCGGCATTACTTTTTAAGAGAAAAAGTAGGAGAGAGATGGATTTCAACACAAACCCCAAACATCAAAGACATAAATATAATACAACATCCAATGTCAACATTATCTTCTTTCCCTGACCTGTCTTGTCTCCAACCCCAGCACACACAAGATCTTTCTCTATGCCCAACCTTTGTCTTCACCCTTCTCCGCTACCACTTTACCTGGTTGTCAAAGCACATCTCGACTGAGAACTGAATTTTGTCAGCTACAACACCTCCACTGGGGAAAATGGCATAGATCACCAGGGAAGGGTCAGGGGCCAGTCTGGAAGTGAAGGTCAGTGAGAGAGAGAAGGAGCCTTTCAGTCCTGAAAGAGAAGAGGGAATATACAGGGAAATTAGATTGCACGTCCAACCTATCAATGGCATCTAACCGTATGCACTTTTCATTGAGCCAGTGCAGGCGGCATGGTGCAAATGACTTCTCATTTTTCTCTTTTCCTGTGATGACGGTTAGTGCTCCAATTCCATTGCTTCTGTGTATAAGAATTGTTTTCTGGAATTTAAAAATACCCTGTTCACTTCCAGGAAAAGCACGTACACTCACCTTTCTTCTTAGAGTTCAGGTGCTTCTGCCCCTCCATCACCAAACTTCCTTTCCCTATTAACTAAAGAAGAAAAGAAAAGAATCAACCATACACAGAAGTTATGGTAATTTCACCTTGGACCAACTTCCAGAGCATCTCTGCATCCTTTCATGAGGAGAGGCTCCTTTCACTGTTCAGAGCCCGGGTCAATACCCCACCCAGCATCCACTAGCTTGACAAATACAGGATGCTGCCAGCGGGTCCTGGGGGCTCCTCCTACAGCTGGAGGTCCGGCTGAGAACCACGCAGGTGGGTGGGAGGAGTCTGACAGCATAGAAATTGTTCCACACCATAGATAGTTGTCTGCCATTTCTTGAAGATCTCCAAATTTTATTTTCTTATAATCCTTGTAACATAAAGTCAGCGAAAATCTATCCTCGTGTTTTTTAATTACAGCTCAATTTAAAATTCAGTGGAAATAATTTCATCCTAAACTACCCTGAGCCCTTCTGACATCGAACCCTCTAGAGGAGAAATCTCCTCTCCTAACTCCCCGTTCCTGTCCACTCTCACTTGAACCAGAACTCAGTGATCTTGTTTGTAAGCAGCCTCTCATCTCCTGCTCCTGCAGGGCTCCGTGGTCGGTTCCTCGGATGCCTGCCCGGCATTAGCCATTCCACATGGCTCGGCCCTAACTTCACTTGTCTCCTACACCTCCCCACACTTCGGTCCTGAAGACAGAGCCCACATTATCACCTGGACTTGTTATTTTCCACCTATCTTTTCTCTTTTCGTTATATTAGGATGATTTTTTTTTTCCCACTTAATGACGACACTGAAACCATAGAAGCTGCTGCAATGATCCAGAGGAGAGAAAGTCTCTCATTGACTGAGAGGAGGATAAGGGAACAAAGAGGCTCTGAGCCACCAAACCTGAGGTTTCCATTCTACTTCCTGACTGTCACCAAGGTGACCAGGAAAGCTGCTTATCCTTATACACTGCTTTCAGGCTACCAAGTTAGGATTTTATTTCCCCAATGAGGCTGCTATTGATGTGAATTTTAACCCCATATCATCTATTTGATAATATTGACCAATGGAACACAGAATGAAATGTATCCTGGCTGGGCGTGGTGGCTCACTCCTGTAGTCCCAGTACTTTGGGAGGCCAAGGTGGGTGCATCACCTGAGGTCAGGAGTTCAAGACCAGCCTGGCCAACATGGTGAAACCCTGTCTCACATAAATTAAAAAAAAAAAAAAAAAAAAAAAGGATCCTGAGTCCCATGCACTACCCATGCTCCCTCCCAACCACCCACTTTTTTTTTTTTTTGTCCTGGCCAGCACTATTTTCTCAGGTAATTCCTCATTTTATTTTCCCACACAATTTTCCTGTGTTCCTGTTCAGAATCTCTTTTCTTCCCCCAATGCTTTCCATCTCTTACACCTATACTGGGGCATACAGTATCTCATATCTCACATGGGAATATTAAATACTTGAAATGTGCTCAGTCCAAACTGAGATACGCATTAAGTGTAAAACACATACTGAGTTTCAAAGACTCAGTTGAAACAAGAATGTAAAATATCTATTAAAACTTTTTATATGGCTTTCATGTTAAAATGTTAATATTTTGGATATAATGGGTTAAATAAAAAATATATTTAAAATTAATGTCAACTGTTCTTTTACTTTTTTAGTGTGGCTTTAAAATTGTTTTTAATTAGATGTGCATCTGCAATTCAGATAGCCTAGGCACCCTCTCTGGCTGGCTCTTCTCATTCTCTTTCCTTCCCAGCATACTTTCACCCATCCCCGTTTCCTGGTCTCACATAGTAGGAGAAGCTGATCTCTTGGTCAGGGCTTGCATCAGCCGGGTCGATGTAATAATCCACCAGCACTTCCTGGGGCTGGCCACATTTCAAGGGGCCGTTGAGCCGGTGGATGCCAAGGAAGCTGTGGGTTGTGTCGTAGAAGGGTCGCAGGTGCAGGTAGGCATTTTGGTAGTAACGTGGCACTTGTTCCGGATTATATACTAAGTCTTCCATTTGAAACTTTCCCTGAGAGTGAGAGAGAGAGAGAGAATTTTAGCATGCACCCCAACCATAGAAACCCCATGGACTTGTGACGGTTTTCAAATGGAGCGCTTTCTCTTAAATCTCCACTGCCCGAGAATGGCATGCGGGTATTTCCTTAGCGGTCCAGCCAAAGATGGATAAAGAATCCATAAACATAGTAGTGTGCAGCAATATTTTGGTATGTAGGAGAGTGACAGAAGGGCTGAATTATAGTTACTAAGTGAGGGGAAATTGGGGGTGATGTATCTTCACAGATACTCCTGGGATAGATGAACATGACTTAGATTATATAGAAATCAAAGATTATATTTCAGGGATAGGAAAACTAGGTACAGAAGATACTAAGATTAAAAAATAACTATTTTTGAGTAATTGAGTGATGCCTAGAGTAAAGAAATAGTCAAATTAGCCACAAGACACCTAGTATATGTTTGCTTAAGTCCTGTGGTTGAACGATCTCATTAATGACTCCAATTCCTCACACATACCCTGCACCCTTCAAGATCAACATCCGTTAGCCTGTAGTCTTCCAGTACCCTCCTAGTCTGACTGTAGGCCCACTGTGTGATTTGTTGGGAATGGGATGTTAACATATGCAATGTATAGAGGTTTGAAAAAGCCCTGAACATCAGCTTTTGCACTTGCACCTCATCACTGCCATAAGAATATACCTGGGCTAGCTGGCTCCTGCATGAGAGGTATGTGGAACACCAGCCTACGGCCAGCCGATCTGCAGACAGGTCTGGACATCGAAATCAGCAGAGCTGCCTGACTGAGTGCCCCAGATGCACAAGCAGTGAATGCTTTGTGTTGCATGATACTGAAGTTTTTAGCTGTTTGATAAGAAGCATTGTTGCGGCAGTTCATAATTAACACTTATAAGTTATCTAGAATCTAGAGTTCTCTTGTTTGCTGTTTTTATTAAGTAATGAGGGGAAGGGAAGGGGAAAGAGAAAGAGAAAGACTGAGTCACCTTTTCCTCCCTACTCTAACTTCATATATAGATAGGGTCAGATAGAGATGGGGGTAAGTTAAAAGATGTAATAGTAGAAATAGTAGTTTTCATCTAAGTAAGGACTATTTATCTGATTGATATTACAAACAGAAAGAATCTAAGGAAAACTTTTTGTCAACGGGGAAGCAGGACTTGTCAGTGAGAGAGATGTAATTCCAAGCAGAGGGGAGGATAGGAAACAGGAAAATTCTGAAGTTTTCCTTCAGGGAAGCTTTACTTTCTAGGAAGCTGGTCCTCCATCCATGCTTACCTCCAGAGAAACAGCTGCCCCATTCCAACTGGATGTATCCACCGTAAAGGGAGCCAAGCCATTGTTGTCAGTAACCAGGGTCTGGTTGAAGGTTCTGTTTGTGCCATAAATCACCAGAAACACTAGATGGTTCTTGAGGAGGGAGTCATCATGGCCCCTAACTCTTATCTGAAGGACAAACGTCATTAGGGATTAGAATTAGGTTTGGAGTAAACTTGAGTATGAAGTGAAGTGGAATATTACGTTGGTGCAAACTAATTGCGGTTTTGGCACTAAAAGTAGTAACAGAATTTCTAAGAATACATTTCAGGGAAGAGTCCTGAAAAAGATAAATGTGATTGTAGCTTTTGAACTAGGATCTGTGAAGAAGTGAAAAACAAACAGAAGTAACAGCCCAGGGCAGAGCTAGATTTGCCCGGTGGCTAATGAAACTTTAGGGCTCTTCGTTTGCACAGGCTCCTTCAAAGTTTCTGCACGCTGTTTTTGGTTTGTTTTTTCTCTCCTTCCTTCCTTTCTTTTTTTGAGATGGAGTCTCCCTCTGTCGCCAAGGCTGGAGTGCAGTGGGACGATCTCGGCTCACTGCAACCTCTACCTCCCGGGTTCAAGCAATTCTCCTGCATCAGCCTCCCAAGTAGCTGGAACTACAGGCATGCACCACCACACCCAGCTAATTTTTGTAGTTTTAGTAGAGACAGGGTTTCACCATGTTGGCCAGCTCGTGATCCACCCACCTCGGCCTCCCAAAGTGCTGGGATTACAGGCATGAGCCATTGTGCCCAGCCTATTTTGCTTTCCTTTTCTTAAAGAGAATCCCCTACCCTCCCAAATTGTGTAATCCTTAGGCTCTAGAAATAATTTGCACCCATCCTTGGTCTGGAGAAATGATAACTGAGGAATAAATGCATCTCTATAGGTGCAATATTACTGTGTGGACTAGTTGTACAAGAAGTAAAGAAACATAAGCTGAATGAGGGGGAAATTCAGTTAGATATCAGAAAGAAAACACTAACAAAGAAAATTTAATTATTTATTTATCTTTATTATTATTTTTTTTGAGACAGTCTCACTCTGTCGCCCAGGCTTGAGTGCAGTGGCATGATCTTAGCTCACTGCACCCTCTGCCTCCTGGGTTCAAGCAACTCTCGTACCTCAGACTCCCAAGTAACTGGGATTACAGGCATGCACGACCATGCCTGGCTAATTTTTGTATTTTTGGTAGAGACAGGGTTTCGCCATGTTGGCCAGGCTGGTCTCGAACTCTTGGCCTCAAGTGATCTGCCCACCTCAGCCTCCCAAAGTGCTAGGACTACAGACGTGAGCCACCACACCCTGCCAGAAATTTTAAAATCTCTAAAGAAAATTGCTGATCGGACACAGTGGCTCACTCCTGTAATCCCAGCACTTTGGGAGGTCCAGGTGGGCAGATCACCTGAGGTTGGGAGTTCAAGACCAGCCTGACCAACATGGAGAAACCCCATCTCTACTAAAATACAAAATTACATGCCTGTAATCCCAGCTACTTGGGAGGCTGAGGCTGGAGAACCGCTTGAACCTGGGAGGTGGAGGTTGCGGTGAACAGAGATCACGCCATTGCACCTCCAGCCTGGGCCACAAAAGCGAAACTCTGTCTCAAAACAAAAACAAAAACAAAAATAAAACAAAAGCAAAAAAAACAAAAAAAACAAAAAAAACGGAAAGAAAAAGAAAACTGCTTAAAGAGCTATACATGGCTGTCAAGGAAAGTTTCATATTAACCTTGCCTAGATGCAGGAGACCAGGATGGACGATTTCTCTAGAAACCCTGCAGCTCTTAAATACAAAGATTTAGACATTAGAAGATCAGCCCCTGGCATTAGAAAGACCCCTAAACTGGCATTAATATTCAAGCTGCTTCTCCTATGGGATTAGGGGCAGCACAGCACAGGGAGTGGAGAGTGTATACCCCGGAGGCAGGCTTCCTGGATTCGGTCATAGTTCCCACCTATTTGCTGATAACCTTGGAAAAATCACTTAGCCTCTGTTACCTGTCTCGTTACCCATAAAATGGGGCCAATATAGCGTCTGCCTCATTGCATTATTATAAAGATTAAAGTGAATACGTGTAAAGTACTTGGAACAGCACTAAGTTAGCTATGTGGCTATGGCTGCAGGAAGGAGGTAAGGTAGATGGTTATGCAATTTTTTTTGTCTCTGTGGAGAAAAGTTTTAACATACCTTCCCACTGAAGGGGAAATTGGGATGGTAAAAACTGCTGGTGTCTTCAAAGGTCATTGATCCCATTTGTGGAGAAATGTAGATATTCTGAGTGGCATTGGCCTCCACACCTGCAGAGGGAAACCAGACGTATAAAGATCTAGGCACCTGATATTCTCATCTTCGTGTTTAATGTCAAGTCTCTGAGAGAATGGCGGCAGAGGGATGAAGTTGAATGTATTTCTGGCCAAAGATCCAAACCAACTTCACTTCCCCAGTCTTTGGGAGAAGTATGTAGTATTTCTTATAGACGGCAAGATGGGATCTGGCATTTCCCCTTGACTGGGAACCAGGAACAAGGTACCACCCAAACACTCAAGAGGGGAGGTCTTGTATCCTTGGAGTAATTATCTGTCCCTGGGACTAGCCCTTTTTCTTTTGCTTTTCTTTTTTTTTTTTTTTTTTTTTTTTTTTTTTTTTGAGACAGTCTCACTCTGTCTCCTAGGCTGGAGTGCAGTGGCCTGATCTCGACTCACTACAACCTCTGCCTCCCGGGTTCAAGTGATTCTCCTGCCTCAGCCTCTGAGTAGCTGGGACTACAATCTTACCACCACTTCTGGCTAATTTTTGTTTTTTTGTTTGTTTTTTGTTTGTTTGTTTGAGACGGAGTCTCGCTCTGTCGCCCAGGCTGGAGTGCAGTGGCCGGATCTCAGCTCACTGCAAGCTCCACCTCACGGAGTTCACGCCATTCTCCTGCCTCAGCCTCCAGTAACAAGGACTACAGCGCCCGCCACTACGCCTGGCTAGTTTTTGTATTTTTAATGAGACGGGGTTTCACCATGTTAGCCAGGATGGTCTCGATCTCCTGACCTAGTGATCTGCCCGTCTCAGCCTCCCAAAGTGCTGGGATTACAGGCTTGAGCCACCGCGCCCGGCCTAATTTTTCTATTTTTATTAGAGATGGTGTTTCACTGTATTGGCCAAGCTGGTCTTGAACTCCTGACCTTGTGATCTGCCCACCTCGGCCTCCCAAAGTGCTGGGATTACAGGCTTGAGCCACCACGCCCAGCCTCTTTCCACTTCTTAATAAACCAAAGGGTACCCTACTTACCTGTCCCTTCCTCACAACAGTAGCCACAATATTGATTTGATGGTTATGCATATCAATGAGGTCAAAGGTGGCCATGTCCACAGGTGCTGAGAAGCATCCTGTTTTGTCAGTCTAGTGAGGAGATCAGAGACAGAGATAGAAAACAGATAAGAATATAATCTCTACGTCCATTTTATAACATTCTGTTGAAGGAAATAATTTCTCATCTCCACACTTTAGTTTCTAATATAGAAAAACTCTCCTCAACATGAAATACACACTTGGACATAGATAATCATGAAATGACTTTGAAGCTTCAAGATTTGGGAAAGGGAAAAAGAAATGACTTCAAAACTGGAAAATTGTATCTTACAGGGGTTTAGGTAAATTTCTTGGTTCCAAGGTAGACTCTAAAAGACTCCCTGTTGAGGATAAAGATCGCTGCTTTGTTCTTTGGAACTGGGATAATAATTCTGGGAAATGATTTCTACTTTGGGCTGTTTACCACTTTTCTAGATTGTTGCTTTCTAACCTCTTTAGGACATATTATGGATAGGTTCTTTTTTTTGGGGGAGGGTGGGAGGACAGAGTCTTGCTCTGTCCCCCAGGCTGGAGTGCAGTGGCGCCATCTCAGCTCATTGCAACCTCCGCCTCCCAGGTTCAAGCAATTCTCCTCTCTCAGCCTCCGAGTAGCTGGGATTACAGGCGCATGCCATCATGCCCAGCTAATTTTTTGAAATTTTAATAGAGATGGGGTTTCACCATATTGGTCAGGCTGGTCTCAAACTCCCGACCTCGTGATCCGCCTGCCTCAGCCTCCCAAAGTGCGGGAGGACAGGCTTGAAGCCATCACGCCGGCGATGAGTTCCTTTTTTACCTGTCATTTACTCACCTGTCCAGAGAAGTTCCTGCATTTGTCGGGTAGCTGTTCCGTTCCACCTGCTCGATACCAGTAAGTATGTACCTTCCCGGCTTTACAGATACACTGCGGCCCCCAGCATGAGCTTTCCATAAATTGTACTAACCAAAGAAGCATGAGAGACCAGAGTTGGGAAATTCACCTCGAGATCCGGCTCTTCCTCGAACACCACTTCTCTCTTCCACTCCAGCCTCTGAAGCTCTGACAACCAGGCCAGTGTGGTGGCTCACACCTGTAATCCCAAAACTTTGGGAGGCTGAGGCAGGTGGATCACTTGAGGCCAGGGGTTCAAGACCAGCCTAGGCAACATAGCAAGACCCTGTCTCTACTAAAATACAAAAATTTGCTGGGCATGGTGGCTACCTGAATCAGCTTCTCAGGAGGCTGAGGCAGGAGAATCGCTTGAACCCAGGAAGTGGAGGTTGCAGTGAGCCGAGATCGTGCCACTGCACTCCAGCCTGGGTGACAGAGTGAGACTCTGTCTCAAAAAAAAAAAAAAAAGAAAGAAAAGAAGGCTCTGATAATCCTATCTTTCTAGTCCTCTTTCGCTTCCCTACTTTACTCAGTCTTAGGTAGATCCACTCCTAATTAGCACCATCCTAAGGATGAAAACAGTATCTTTCTTTCTCCTGATCCCTATTTATCTATGGGATTCAATATTGTGTCTCGTAAAGACTAAATCAATACTGTCTGAGTGAGCAGTGGGAAAAGAGTAGAAACACAACTATAAAATGCTCTTGGTTGGGCGCGTTGGCTCACGCCTGTAATCCTAGCACTTTCGGAGGCCGAGGCGGGTGGATCACCTGAGGTCAGGAGTTCAAGACCAGCCTGGCCAACTACCAACATAGCAAAACCCGTCTCTCACAAAAATTCTAACAGTAGCCAGGCATGGTGGCACGTGCCTGTAATCCCAGCTACTCAAAAGGCTGAGGCAGGAGAATCGCTTGAACCTGGGAGGCGGAGGTTGCAGTGAGAGGAGATCACGATTAAGCTCCAAGAAGCGAAACTCTGTCTCAAAAAAAAAAAAAAAAAAAAGTTCTGGGATAAAGTCATGACTCTGAATTACATAAAATACCCCAGAAGTTTTGCCCCCACAATCCACTTTCCCATGTGATTCCGTCATCCGTCTCTTGATGCACCTTTAATCTCCACCAGATCTTAAGCTTCCGCTCTTACCTACAACAAATTTTTACTAAGAAAGATTCCTGCACCGTTGATAACTCCTTGGGTTCCACCACTTCCACCTTAAGCAAGTAGCACTGAAAGTAAAACGAGAAATGGAAAAAGAATTGGAGAGACGCAGTCAGATAGGCAGTGAGCAGAGAGTATAAACACAGTGAGAAGTGGGTGCGGATCTAATGAAGGAGGCATTATTTAGGTAGAATTCTCCTGAAGTCATTAGCTAGTTTTAGCATCGACTCAAAAATGAATAAATAATCCTTTCCCAGAGTAGATTTTACTCTACCTTTGCTGATTTTAAGATGAGATTATGCCCAGTACTTTGGCCTGTCCATTCCCCCACCTACCATATTCCTCCACACTGAAAGTGCCAAAGGTCTTGCCCTCAGCCACTGCCACAGTGTAGGTGCCCAGCATTGCCTCTGGTGCCAGTTGGAAGGACAGGTCTACAATGCCTTGCTCAGGTGCCACTTCCAGCCACTGTGCAATCCTGTTGCTGTTTGGATCATAACCAGCAGAGAAACTGCATGATGTACCTGCCTGTTCACTTCCCACTCTACACTGCAACATGCAGGTAAGAAGCAAAAGGCAGGTAAGAGCCCACCCATTGCTCAAGACCCCTGTGATCTGTGTCCAGGAAGGAAGTAGCTCCCTGTGTTATTTATAGATTCTTTATGACTGAATGAGGTAAATATTTCTATAGATCCAGCCCTTATTTGGGAGAAAATTTTGTGAGTTTTAATGATCACACTGAGTCCTCTAAAGTGTTATCTCCAGTTTTAGAAAGTAGGACCCGGACATCATTTACAAAGAATGTTTACTCTGTTTCGGTCCCTATTGGGGGACAAGGCTGAGAAATTGATTGTAAGATACCTAAAAATGGGTGATTGAATGGAAAAATGGAGAATGTGTGGAGAAATCGCCCTCTAGATCCTTTCCTTTAAAACACTTCTCACAGGTGTTTATGTTACTGAGAATGCCTAGGGCAAGGGGCTGTTCCCTTAGACTAGGGCAAGCCTGGTTAAGTTGGCTGGGCACAGAGAAGTTAGGGGAATGAGAGGAGAGCGGCGGTGTAGTCAGTACAGAGGCTGGTGTCCTTGTCTACTGAAATGTAGTTGTGAGAGACCAGGAGGGCAGAGGCGAGAGAACAGGCACAACTTAGGTGGATGTGGGTGCTCGCTGCTGGGCAGTCATGGGGCTCTGAGCCAAGATCTCAGAGTTGCTTCTGTCCTTCCAAGGTTTACCACCAAATTCTCATTCTTCCTCTTCCCACAATTGACAGAAGAAAGAAACTTCCACTTTACTGTGGTTCCACCATGGAGTACTGAAAAGGAAAACCAGATAATGCAGGTTAAAGAAGGGTGACAACAATAAGGTAAGTTTGCTGAAAGCAAGTTCACAAGGAATTCTTCATTTCCCTCTTGCCCATGTCTTCATTTCTTCCTTTCTAAATGGCTCTTTTGTGCTCTGAAAAGAATAACAATGGGGGCACAGACTTCTCAGGAGGAAACAAGGCAGGGGAAGAGTGGGGGCAGGAATCTCAAAGGAATTGCCAGTCTCCAAAGATCTGAAGAACTGGAGCATCAGACCAGTCTCCAGTGCCTGTGACTGAGCTCTTGCACAAAAAAAAACATACCTAAAAGTGTGCTGGGGGTTCCTCAATGTTTAAACCTCTTCTTGGCCTTAACCATCTCTAGCCTCTTCCTTTACCATCTAAATGCTTGTGGGCAGGAACCTTACTTTTCCTTCCTTCCTTCCTTCCTTCCTTCCTTCCTTCCTTCCTTCCTTCCTTCCTTCCTTCCTTCCTTCTTTCCTTTCCTTTCCTTTCCTTTCCTTTCCTTTTCTTTCCTTCTCTTCTCTTCTCTTCTCTTCTCTTCTCTTCTCTTCTCTCTTTCTCTTCTCTTCTCTTCTCTTCTCTTCTCTTCTCTTCTCTTCTTTCTCTCTCTCTCTCTCTAAGGTACCCCCACTACACCCCCTCTCAGCAGGAAGAAGCCAGAGCAATCGACAGGCTTTTCCCATCTTCATAGCCCACACCTTAAGATTTTTTTTTTTTTTTTTTTTTTTTTTTTTGAGACAGTCTCACTCTGTCTCCTAGGCTGGAGTGCAGTGGCCTGATCTCGACTCACTACAACCTCTGCCTCCCGGGTTCAAGTGATTCTCCTGCCTCAGCCTCCTGAGTAGCTGGGACTACAGGCGTCTGCCACCACTTCTGGCTAATTTTTGTTTTGTTTTGTTTTGTTTTTTTTGTTTGTTTGTTTGTTTTGAGACGGAGTCTCGCTCTGTCGCCCAGGCTGGAGTGCATTGGCCGGATCTCAGCTCACTGCAAGCTCCACCTCACAGGTTCACGCCATTCTCCTGCCTCAGCCTCCGGAGTAGCTGGGACTACAGGCGCCCGCCACTACGCCTGGCTAGTTTTTTGTATTTTTTAATAGAGACGGGGTTTCACCATGTTAGCCAGGATGGTCTCGATCTCCTGACCTAGTGATCTGCCCGTCTCAGCCTCCCAAAGTGCTGGGATTACAGGCTTGAGCCACCGCGCCCGGCCTAATTTTTCTATTTTTATTAGAGATGGTGTTTCACTGTATTGGCCAAGCTGGTCTTGAACTCCTGACCTTGTGATCTGCCCACCTCGGCCTCCCAAAGTGCTGGGATTACAGGCTTGAGCCACCACGCCCAGCCTCTTTCACTTTTCTTAATAAACCAAGGAGTACCCTACTTACCTGTCCCTTCCTCCACAACAGTAGCCACAATATTGATTTGATGGTTGTACGCATATCCAATGAGGTCAAAGGTGGCCATGTCCACAGGTGCTGAGAAGCATCCTGTTTTGTCAGTCTAGTGAGGAGATCAGAGACAGAGATAGAGAGCAGATAAGGAATATAATCTCTACGTCCATTTTATAACATTCTGTTGAAGGAAATAATTTCTCATCTCCACACTTTAGTTTCTAATATAGAAAAACTCTCCTCCAACATGAAGTACACACTTGGACATAGATAATCATGAAATGACTTTGAAGCTTCAAGATTTGGGAAAGGGAAAAAGAAATGACTTCAAAACTGGAAAATTGTATCTTACAGGGGTTTAGGTAAATTTCTTGGTTCCAAGGTAGACTCTAAAAGACTCCCTGTTGAGGATAAAGATCGCTGCTTTGTTCTTTGGAACTGGGATAATAATTCTGGGAAATGATTTCTACTTTGGGCTGTTTACCACTTTTCTAGATTGTTGCTTTCTTACTCTTTAGGACATGTGGATAGGTTCTTTTTTTGGGGGAGGGGGTGGGAGGGACAGAGTCTTGCTTTGTCCCCCAGGCTGGAGTGCAGTGGCGCCATCTCAGCTCATTGCAACCTCCGCCTCCCAGGTTCAAGCAATTCTCCTCTCTCAGCCTCCGAGTAGCTGGGATTACAGGCGCATGCCATCATGCCCAGCTAATTTTTTGAAATTTTAATAGAGATGGGGTTTCACCATATTGGTCAGGCTGGTCTCAAACTCCTGACCTCGTGATCCGCCTGCCTCAGCCTCCCAAAGTGCCGGGAGGACAGGCTTGAGCCATCACGCCCGGCCGATAGGTTCCTTTTTTACCTGTCATTTACTCACCTGTCCAGAGAAGTTCCTGCATTTGTCAGGTAGCTGTTCCCGTTCCACCTGTCGATACCAGTAAGTATGTGCCTTCTGACACACAGATACCTGCACGGCCCCCAGCATGGGCTTTCCATAGGTGTACCTAACCAAGAAAAGCATGAGGGGTCAGAGTTGGGAAATTCCACTCGAGATCCGGCTCTTCCTCCGAACACCACTTCTCTCTTCTCACACTCCAGCCTCTGAAAGAAAGCTCTGACAATCCAGGCCAGTGTGGTGGCTCATGCCTGTAATCCCAAAACTTTGGGAGGCTGAGGCAGGTGGATCACTTGAGGCCAGGGGTTCAAGACCAGCCTAGGCAACATAGCAAGACCCTGTCTCTACTAAAAATACAAAAATTTGCTGGGCATGGTGGCTCACACCTGAATCCCAGCTTCTCCAGGAGGATGAGGCAGGAGAATCGCTTGAACCCAGGAAATGGAGGTTGCAGTGAGCCGAGATCACCCCACTGCACTCCAGCCTGGGTGACAGAGTGAGACTCTGTCTCAAAAAAAAAAAAAAAAAAAAGAAAGAAGGCTCTGATAATCCTATCTTTTCTAGTCCTCTTTTCCTTCCCTACTTTACTCAGTCTTAGAGTAGATCCACTCCACAATTAGCACCATCCTAAGGATGAAAACAGTATCTTTCTTTCTCCTGATCCCTATTTATCTATGGGATTCAATATTGTGTCTCGTAAAGACTAAATCAATACTGTCTGAGTGAGCAGTGGGAAAAAAAGAGTAGAAACACAACTATAAAATACTCTATTGGTTGGGCGCGTTGGCTCACGCCTGTAATCCTAGCACTTTCGGAGGCCGAGGCGGGTGGATCACCTGAGGTCAGGAGTTCAAGACCAGCCTGGCCAACATACCAACATAGCAAAACCCCGTCTCTCCTAAAAATTCTAACAGTAGCCAGGCATGGTGGCGCGTGCCTGTAATCCCAGCTACTCAAAAGGCTGAGGCAGGAGAATCGCTTGAACCTGGGAGGCGGAGGTTGCAGTGAGAGGAGATCACGCGATTGCGCTCCAAGAGCGAAACTCTGTCTCAAAAAAAAAAAAAAAAAAAAAAGTTCTGGGATAAGTCATGACTCTGAATTACATAAAATACCCCAAGTTTTGCCCCCCCCCACAATCCCTTTCCCCATGTAATTCCCTCATCACGTCTCTTGATGCACCTTTAATCTCCACCAGATCTTAAGCTTCCGCTCTTACCTACAACAAATTTTTACTAAGAAAGATTCCTGCACCGTTGATAACTCCTTGGGTTCCACCACTTCCACCTTAAACTTCGGCAGCACTGAAGAGAGTAAAACGAGAAATGGAAAAAGAATTGGAGGAGGACGCAGTCAGATAGGCAGTGAGCAGAGGGGTATAAACACAGTGAAAATTAAATTAACGGATCTAATGAAGGAGGCATTATTTAGGTAGAATTCTCCTGAAGTCATTAGCTGGTTTAGCATCGACTCAAAAATGAATAAATAATCCTTTCCCAGAGTAGATTTTACTCTACCTTTGCTGATTTTAAGATGAGATTATGCCCAGTACTTTGGCCTGTCCATTCCCCCACCTACCATATTCCTCCACACTGAAAGTGCCAAAGGTCTTGCCCTCAGCCACTGCCACAGTGTAGGTGCCCAGCATTGCCTCTGGTGCCAGTTGGAAGGACAGGTCTACAATGCCTTGCTCAGGTGCCACTTCCAGCCACTGTGCAATCCTGTTGCTGTTTGGATCCTGTCCAACAGAGAAACTGCATGATGTACCTGCCTGTTCACTTCCCACTCTACACTGCAACATGCAGGTAAAGAAGCAAAAGGCAGGTAAAGAACCCCACCCATTGCTCAAGACCCCTGTGATCTGTGTCCAGGAAGAGTAGCTCCCTGTGTTATTTATAACGTTCTTTATGACTGAATGAGGTAAATATTTCTATAGATCCAGCCCTTATTTGGGAGAAAATTTTGTGGATTTTAATGATCACACTGAGTCCTCTAAAGTGTTATCTCCAGTTTTAGAAAGTAGGACCCGGGATGTCATTTACAAAGAATGTTTACTCTGTTTCTGGTCCCTATTAGGGGACAAGGCTGAGGAAATTGATTGTAAGATACCTAAAAAATGGGTGATTGAATGGAAAAATGGAGGAGATATTGTGGAGAAATCGCCCTCTAGATCCTTTCCTTTAAAACACTTCTCACAGGTGTTTATGTTACTGAGAATGCCTAGGGCAAGGGCTGTTCCCTTAGACTAAGGGGAGAACAGAACCAAGCCTGGTTAAGTTGGCTGGGCACAGAGAAGTTAGGGGAATGAGAGAGCGAGCGGTGTAGTCAGTACAGAGGCTGGTGTCCTTGTCTACTGAAATGTAGTTGTGAGAGACCAGGAGGGCAGAGGCGAGAGAACAGGCACAACTTAGGTGGATGTGGGTGCTCGCTGCTGGGCAGTCATGGGGCTCTGGGCCAAGATCTCAGAGTTGCTTCTGTCTTCAAGGTTTACCACCAAATTCTCATTCTTCCTCTTCCACAATTGACAGAGAAGAGAAAGAAACTTCCACTTACCTGTAGTTCCACCATGGAGTACTGAAAAGGAAAACCAGATAATGCAGGTTAAAGAAGGGTGACAGCAATAAGAGTAAGTTTGCTGAAAGCAAAAGTTCACAAAGAATTCTTCATTTCCCTCTTGCCCATGTCTTCATTTCTTCCTTTCTAAATGGCTCTTTTGTGCTCTGAAAAGAATAACAATGGGGGCACAGACTTCTCAGGAGGGAAACAAGGCAGGAGGAGGGGAAGAGTGGGGGCAGGAATCTCAAAGGAATTGCCAGTCTCCAAAGATCTGAAGAACTGGAGCATCAGACCAGTCTCAGTGCCCTGTGACTGAGCTCTTGCACAAAAAAACATGCCCTAAAAGAAGTATTAGCACCAGGGGGTTCCTCAATGTTTAAACCTCTTCTTGGTAGCCAACCATCTCCTGGCCTCTTCCTTTACCATCTAAATGCTTGTGGGCAGGAACCTTACTTTTCCTTCCTTCCTTCCTTCCTTCCTTCCTTCCTTCCTTCCTTTAGCACCAGGGGGTTCCTCAATGTTTAAACTCTCTTCTTGAACAGCCAACCATCTCCTGGCCTCTTCCTTTACCATCTAAATGCTTGTGGGCAGGAACCTTACTTTTCCTTCCTTCCTTCCTTCCTTCCTTCCTTCCTTCCTTCCTTCCTTCCTTCCTTCCTTCCTCTTCCTTCCCTTCTTTCCTTTCCCTTTCCTTTTCTTTTCCTTCTCTTCTCTTCTCTCTTTCTTTCTTCTCTTCTTCTCTTTCTTTCTTTCTTTCTTTTCTTTCTTTCTTTGATGGAGTCTTGCTGTGACACTCCAGGCTAGAGTGCAGTGGCGTGATCTCGCTCACTGCAAGCTCTGCCTCCCTGGTTCAAAGGATTCCAGCCTCAGCCTTCTCGGAGTAGCTGGGATTACAGGTGCCCACCACCACACCCAGCTAATTTTTATATTTTTTTAGTAGAGATGGGGTTTCACCATGTTGGCCAGGCTGGTCTCGAACTCCTGACCTCAGGCGATCTGCCTGCTTTGGCCTCCCAAAGTGCTGGGATTACAGGCTGAGCCATCAGGCCTCAGCCCAGGAACTCTTACTTTCAAGCATTGCAAATAATTATTTTTAAAATTGTTTGAAATAGTTCCATTGGAGAGTCACGTATCATTTTCCTCAAGATAGTAGTTGCTAAAAGATGCGTGAGTTTGCTTGGAACTAGGTGAACAGCAGGAGAGGGACTCAGAGAGAGTGCAAAGGTATTCAAAAGAGAAGACCAGTTTGATCTAACTTGAAAGAAGAGAATGAAATCAAGACAGTGCTTGATTTTTTTTATTCTTGGGCCAAGTACTCATGATGCCAACCAGAAGAAGTTGAACCATCAATACAATTATCAGCCTTGATATTAGGGATAATGGCAATTCTTCAAAAAAAAAAAAAATGTCAAAGTATGAGATATAAGGATCAAGATGAACTAGGATCACAAACCTGGGCTATATAAACATCAGGAGGAGAATATCACTAAGACTTCTATAGATTTCCATAAAGTCAAAACAAAAACAAACAAACAAAAAAACACTTCTTTAGGCCGGGCACTGTGGCTTACACTCAACTGCAGCACTTTGGGAGGCTGAGGAGGGTGGAGATCACCTGAGGTCAGGAGTTCAAGACCAGTTTACAATATGGTGGAACTTTATTGGCATAAAAATACAAAAATTAGCCGGACATGGTGGCACACGCCTGTAACTCCAGCTACTCCGGAGGCTGAGGCAGGACACTTGAACTGGATAGTGGAGGTTGCTTGAACCGAGATCATGCACTGCACACCAGCCTGGGCTTGGCTGTGCTGACTCAAACACAAAAATACAAAACAACAACAACAAAAAGACACTTAGATAACAAAGCATTTTTCTCACACAGGGATCAAGAATCAGGAAAGACATCAAAGGCTGCAAATAGGCTCTGAAGAAAATAAGTGTTTCACTAGGAAAGTAGCATTTCTGAGACCAGTGATGGTGGCTCACGCCTGTAATCCCAGCACTTTGGGAGGCTGAGGTGCGCAGATCACATGAGGTCAGGAGTTTGAGACCAGCCTGACCAACATGGGAAACCCCATTTCTACTAAAAATACAAAAATTAGCCAGATGTGGTGGTGAAACATCTCCTGTAAACCCAACTACTTGGGAAGCTGAGGCGGAAGAATCCTTTGAACCCAGGAGGTGGAGGTTGCAGTGAGCTGAGATCCCGCTACTGTACTCCAGCCTGGGCAAACAGAGAAACTCCGTCTCAAAAAAAAAAAAAAAAAAAAAAAAAAAAGGAAAGTAACATTTTCTAATTAGTTGCCTGAGTTTCTGAATAACTGAGTATAGCAATCAAGTTTGTCTAACTTGGATTAGTTACTATCAGGGTTAGTTAATATCAGCTTTACTTGACTACTTTATTTGTTTGGGGATAAAATATTGTGCTGTAAATGAAACTGACTTGCAAAATTAAACTGAGGAAACTATGACAGTCAAAGGAATCAGACCTAATGGACACTATCTTGCTTCTAAGCTGTTCCACTCCTCACCTTAGGTACCCCCACTACACCCCCTCTCAGCAGGAAGAAGCCAGAGCAATCGACAGGCTTTTCCCATCTTCATAGCCCACACCTTAAGATTAAGGTGTTATAAAACCCACAGGGAGGGACTGAAGCCGCCTTTGCAAAATTATAACTGAGGAAATTATGAAAGTGAAAGAAATCAGACCTAACCAACTCCATCTTGCTTCCAACTTTGAAGCTGTCCTTGTGGATTCCTGGGTGTAGGCCAAACTAACTTTGGGAAGGAATTCAGTTCATGGTTTGACTCTGAAACAAAATTGATAACAGCCCTTTCCCAGTAAGACCCCCGTCTTGCCTGGGGACCAGTCTGTCTTTGCAGGGCTAACAAATTAGCTACAAGATTAGAAATTACAGTTTAGGGGTCATGCAGCCTCTGGCTCCAAGAGTCTGAACGTCCTCAAATTGCTCCTGGGGATAGTATCACTATAGTAAAACCTCAAATCAGTGCCCGAGATGTTCCGAGATGTTTTCACACCCTGCATTCAGTGGATCCGCTGACATCACCCAGACCAGTAATCTGGCTCAACCAGTTCTGCCATCCCACCCGGGAGGAGGAAGACAGCAAGAAAACCTCACTTCCACCATCTGTGACTCCGTCTCCAACCTAAGCAATCAGCACTCCCCACTTCCCAAGCCCCTACCTGCCAAATTATCTTTAAAAACTCTGATTTCCAAATGCTCCGGGAGACTGAATGAAACTCCAGTCTCCCGCACAGCCGGCTCTGCGTGAGTTACTCTTTCTTCATTGCAATTCCCCGGTCTTTTTTTTTTTTTGAGACGGAGTCTCGCTTTGTCGCCCAGGCTGGAGTGCAGTGGCGCAATCTCGGCTCACTGCAAGCTCCGCCTCCCGGGTTCACGCCATTCTCCTACCTCAGCCTCCCGAGTAGCTGGGACTACAGGCGCCCGCCACCTCGCCCGGCTAGGTTTTTGTATTTTTTAGTAGAGACGGGGTTTCACTGTGTTAGCCAGGATGGTCTTGATCTCCTGACCTCGTGATCCGCCCATCTCGGCCTCCCAAAGTGCTGGGATTACAGGCTTGAGCCACCGCGCCCGGCCTCCCCGGTCTTGATAAATCGGCTCTGTCTAAGCAGCAGTCAAGGTGAACCCACTTGGTGGTTACAAAAACACAATTTTTACTCTAGCTTTCTTGGTAAAATTCCTTTTGTTAATCTCGGTGTTTCAACTGAATTTGGAGGGAGGGCTTGGCTAGAGAAATAGAGCGGGGAGGAAGGAATAATTTTACAAGAGAAAGAGAACCTGACTACGGAAATCAGAACACCTGGAAGTAATCCCGCATCATTTGAGCAAAGGAAATATATCGTCACAGGGGTAGTGAATGAGATCAACCCTGAGGGTAAGTGAGTCTGAAGTAGTGCTGCTACGGGCCACACGTTGAACCCGGCACTTCCTTGTTGCAGCTCTATAGAAAACAGTCTGTTAAGAAATAAGTACTCAGACCAGGTGCGGTGGCTCAGGCCTATCATCCCAACACTTTGGGAGACTGAAGCGAGAGAGCCCAGGAATTCAAGACCAGCCTGGGCAACAAGGTGGGACCCCCATCTCTACAAAAAATAAAATAATTAGCCAGGCATGGTAGTGCACAGCTGTGGTCCCAGCTACTGGGGAGAGCGAGGTGGGAAGATTACTTGAACCCGGGGCAGAGTCAAAGCTGCAGGGAGCCATGACTGTGCCACTGCACTCCAGCCTAGGCGACAGAATGAGACTTTGTCTTAAAATGTTAAAAAAAAAAAAAAAAAAAAAGAAAGAAATAAGTACTCAACATTATACTGAACTCCTACAAAAGAAAAGCTACAGGTGATGGGAAGAAGGAACTAAAAGGAAATCTATATTGGGAAAGAGAGTAGTGTGTAGGGCATTACTAAAGAAAGCAGGGTGTCTGGGAGATAAGTATCTCAGAAGCATGTAGAAATGACACGTGTTCCAACTTGAGATCAAACCTATTAAAAGGCTTATGATTCTAGGGATGGGGAGTCCGAGGAAAAGTCAAATATTCGCTACATGTTGCTACCTTTTAACCTTTGGCATATATTTATTTAATGTTGCCTTAAGATAATTACCTACTTTGTAAATTATTTTGCCTCATAGAAACAGAGGGGAAGCGGACATTCTCCTTTCTGCCTTAAAAAACAAAAACAAAAACAAAACAAAACAAAACAAAAAAACTTTTTTCAGTCCTGAAGAGAAGCTCTGGAAGTTTGTGAAAACTCTTAAAATGAAAGGGGGCTGAGCTACAGCTCTTGTCTGTAATCCCAGCACTTTGGGAGGCCGAGGTGGGTGGAACACTTGAGGTCAGTAGTTTGAGACCAGCCTGGCCAACATGGTGTAACCCTGTTTTTACTAAAAATACAAAAATTAGCCAGGCATGGTGGTGCGGGCCTGTAATCCCAGCTACCCAGGAGGCTGAGGCAGGAGAATTGCTTGAACCCAGGACGCGGAGGTTATAGTGAGCTGAGGTCACGCCACTGCACTCCAGCCTGGGCCACAGAGCGAGACTCTGTCTCTAAATAAACAAATAAATAAAATAAAATGACAAGGAGAGTAACCATCTCTCAAGAACCTGACTGATGTGTAGATACTGAAGCTGAGAACTGGTTACCTCTGCTTATTCCTAGGCTGATTTAGGCTAGCTTGCTGAGGCTAGTCCAGCACTTCCAGTCCCACACGCACAGCAGTCTCCAACCCAGAGGGCCTCATCTTGCCAAACCCAGGCTGAGAGGACTTCCACCTTGGAGAGAGAGAATCTCTCATCCTTTTCCCTATTCTCTCAGTCTGCACCACTCCCTTTCCTCCTTCCAACTCACCTTGTCATTCACTGGAACAAAGTTGCTATCCATGGTGACAATGCGGAAATACACTGGAAGGGAACAGGCATCGTTAGCAAAGGGGCTGTTTCCTGGCTCAGAATTTTCTTTTTCTTTTTTTTTTGAAACAGAGTCTCTGTCACCCAGGTTGGAGTGCAGTGGCACAACCATGGCTCACTGCAGCCTCAAACTCCTGGGGTCACCCCAGCCTCCGGAGTAGCTGGGACCACAGGCAGGCGCCACCACACTCGGCTAATTTTTGTAGAGACAGGGTTTCACCATGTTGGTCAGGCTGGTCTTGAACTCCTGACCTCAGATGATCCACCTGCCTTTGGCCTCCCAAAGTGCTGGGATTGTAGGTGTGAGTCACCGCACCTGGCCTCCTGCTCAGAATCTTTCCTCCATCCCTCCTCCTTCCTCACACGTGCTCTGAGTCAGCAAAACCCCAACAGGTTTTACTTTTTTACAAAACCTACTCTGAGAGTGAGGTAAAGACCAAACACAGGCCTGGAGCTCAGGAGGCAGAGCAAGACGCAGAATAGAAGCCTCCACTGACCACCCTCCTCATCCCCCGCAGGAACACCAGACTGAACAACTGTCCACGCAAAACAGCACCGTCATAAGAACCAAAAATCAGGTGAGTGATCACACTGCCTGGTTTTAACTTCGTATCACTGAAAGAGGCACTGAATTGACACACTTGAATTGCTGATACACCCCCCGCCCCCATCCCCCAGCGGTGACTGTGTGGCACAGAGACAGAATCGATGAACTTGAGGGAGGGAGAGCACTTCAGTGACTGTGGGACTTGGCATTGGAACTCAGTGCTGCTCCATCACAGGGGAAAGCACACAGGGCAGAACTCAGCCAGTGTCCATGGAGGGAGCATTTAGACCAGCCTCAGCCAGCGGTGAATTGCCCGTCCCAGCAGTTGGGAGCTGAGTTCCGATGAGCCCCTGGGGCTCCGAATAGTCAGCAGTGATAGCTGCGCCGTACTTGTCATGGACCTTGGGTGAGACTCAGAGACACGCTGGCTTCCAGTGGTTCAGCACATTCTCAGCTGTGGTGACTATGGGGAGGGGCTCCTTCTACTCGAGAAAAGGAGAGGGAAGAGTCAAGGGGATTTCGCTTGTAGCTTAGGTAGCAGCTCAGCCACAGTGGGGTAGAGTACCAAGCAGGCCCTTGGGGTCCCCAGTTACAGGCCGTGGCCCTTGGATGGCATTTCTGGACCTGCTGTTGGTCAGACGAGCGCTTACTGCTCTGAAAAAAGAGTCCCAGGCCAGGCACCATCACCACCAGCTGACTAAGAGCCCTTGAGCCTCGAGAGAATGCTAGAAGTATCCGGGCAGTACGCGTCGTGGGCCTGGAGTAGTGGTGGCCACAGGGAGAGACTCCTCTGTGGAAAGGGGAAGGAAGAGAGGGAAGGACTTTGTCTTGTGGCTTTGGTGTCAACTCAGCTGCAGTAGAACAGAACACCAGGTAGATTCCTAAGGTTTCTGACTCTAGGCCCTGGCTAGCAGATAACATCTCTGGACCTTCCCAGGGTCATGGGGAACTCACCACCCTGAAGGGGAGGACAACAAGCGTGGCTGGCTTTGTCACCTGCTGACGGTAGAGCCCTAGGGCCTTGAGCAAACACAGGCAGTAGCCAGGTACTGGTTACCACAGGCCTTGGGTCAGACACAGGACAGTGCTGGCTTCAGATATGACCCAATGCAGTCCCAATACTGGTGGCCACAGGGGTGCTTGTGTCACCCCTCTCTCCAGGCAGCTCAGCACAAAGAGAGAAACTCTGTTTGTTTTGGAGAAAGTAAGGCAAGAGAACAAGAATCTCCACTTGGTAATCTGGAATTCTTCCAGATCTTATCCAAAACCATCAAGGAGGTACCTCTATGAGCCTTCAAGAGCCACAGAGATACTGAGCATGGGGTCCTCCCTAATGCAGACACACTGCAGAGTCCAGAAACTTAGATTGCAACACCCAGGGCCCTTCAAATACCTGGAAAGTCTGCCCAAGAAGGAAAGGTACAAACAAGTCCAGAATACAAAGACTACAATGAATACCTAACTCTTCAATGCTCAGACACCAATGAACATCCACATCAAGACCATCTTGGAGGCCGGGTGTGGTGGCTCAAGCCTGTAATCCCAGCACTTTGGGAGGCCGAGACGGGCGGATCACGAGGTCAGGAGATCAAGACCATCCTGGCTAACACAGTGAAACCCCGTCTCTACTAAAAAATACAAAAAACTAGCCGGGTGCGGTGGTGGGTGCCTGTAGTCCCAGCTACACGGGAGGCTGAGGCAGGAGAATGGCATGAACCTGGGAGGCGGAGCTTGCAGTAAGCGGAGATCGCGCCACTGCACTCCAGCCTGGGCGACAGAGAGAGACTCCGTCTCAAAAAAAAAAAAAAAAAAAGGCCATCTTGGAAAAAATTACCTCACCAGATGAACTAAATAAGGCACCAGCAACCAATCTCAGAGAAACAAAGAGAGTGATCTTTCAGATCAAGAATTCAAAATAGCTGTTTTCAGGAAACTCAACAAAGTTTTAGATAACACAGAGAAGGAATTCAGAATCCTATCAGATAAATTTAACAAAGAGATTGAAATAATATTGAAAAATCTGGCAGAAATTGTGGAGCTGAAAAAAAATCAATTCACATACTGACCAATGCATTAGAGTGTCTTAACAGTAGAATAGATCAAGCAGAAGAAAGAATTAATAAGCTTGAAGACAGGCTTTTTAGAATACACAGTCAGGCTGGACCTGGTGACTCACACCTGTAATCCCAACACTTTGGGAGACCAGGGCGGGCAGATTACCTGAAGTCTGGAGTTCGAGACCAACCTGGCCTCAAAACCCCATCTCTACTAAAAATACAAAAATTAGCTGGGCCATAGTGGCACGCATCTGTAATCCTAGCTACTCAGGAGGCTGAGGCAGGAGAATCCCAGGAGGTGGAGGTTGCAGTGAACCAAGATCGCGCCACTGCACTCCAGCCTGGGTGACAGAGGGAGATCCTGTCTCAAAAAGCAAAGAAAAGAAAAAAAAAAAAGACCAATCTGGCCAACATTGTGAAACCCTATCTCTACTAAAAATACAAAAATTTGGCTGCGTGTGGTGGCTCCCACGTGTAATCCCAGCACTTTGGGAGGCAGAGGCAAGGCAGGTGGATCACCTGAGGTTAGGAGTTTGAGACCAGCCTGGCCAACATGGTGAAACCCTGTCTTAAAAGTACAATAATTAGCCGGGCATGGTGTCAAGCATCTGTAATCCCAGCTACTTGGGAGGCTGAGGCAGGAGAATTGCTTGAACCCAAGAGACGGAGGTTGTAGTGAGCTGAGATTGCGCCACTGTACTCCATCCTGGGCGATAGAGTGAAACTCCTTTTCAAAACAAAACAAATAAAAATACCCAGTCAGGGGAGAAAAAAGAAAAAGGAATGAAGCATGCCTACAAGATCTATAAAAATAGCCTCAAAAGGGCAAATCTAAGAGGTATTGAATTTTGGCCGGGCACAGTGACTCACACCTGTAATCCCAGCACTTTGGAAAGCTAAGGCAGGTGGATCACCCGAGGTCGGGAGTTCAAAACCAGCCTGGCCAACATGGAGAAACCCCGTCTCTACTAAAAATACAAAATTAGCCAGGCATGGTGGTGCAGGCCTGTAATCCCAGCTACTTGGGAGGCTGAGGCAGGAGAATCACTTGAACCCGGGAGGCAGAGGTTGCGGTGAGCCGAGATCATGCCATTGTACTCCAGCCTGGGGAACAAGAGTGAAACTCCATCTCAAAAAAAAAAAAAAAAAAAAAGAAGTATTGACTTTAAAGAGGAAGTAGAGAGAGAAATGAGATGGAAAGTTTATTCAAAGTGAAAATAACAGAGAACTTTCCAAACCTAGAGAAAGATATCAATATTATTATTATTATTTGAAACAGTCTTGCTCTGTTGCCCAGGCTGGAGTGCAGTAGTGTGCTCTTGGCTCACTGCGACCTCCACTTCCCTGGTTCAAGTGATTCTTCTGCCTCAGCCTCCCCAGTAGCTGGGATTACAGGCATGGGCCACCATGCTTGGCTAATTTGGTATTTTTAGTAGAGACGGGGTTTTGCCATGTTGGCCAGGCTGGTCTCGAACTACTCACCTCAGGTGATTTGCCCACCTCAGCCTCCCAAAGTGCTGGGATTACAAGCATGAGCCACCGAGCCCAACTGAGAAAGATATCAATATTAAGTACAAGAAGATTATAGAACACCAAGCAGATTTAACCCAAATGAGTCTACCTCAAGACGTTTAATAATCAAACTCCAAAACATCAAGGAATTAAAAAAAAAAATCCTAAAAGTGCAAAACAATAGACGTGGTGGCTTACGCATGATCCCAGCACTCTGGAAGGCCGAGTGGGGAGGATAACTTGAGGTCAGGAGTTGGAGATCAGCCTGGCCAATATGGCGAAACCCTATCTCTACTAAAAATACAAAAATTAGCCAGGCATGGTGTTGCTCACCTGTAATCCCAGCTACTCAGGAGGCTGAGTCAGGAAAATCGCTTGAACCCAGAAAGCAGAGGCTGCAGTGAGCAGTCATTTATTGCATTCCAGCGTGGGCAACAGAATGTGACTCCATCTCAAAAAAACAAAACAAACAAAAACAAAAATTAGGCAGGCATGGTGGTGCACCCCTGTACTCCCAGCTACTCGGGATGTTGAAGCACAAGAATTGCTTGAACCCAGGAGGCAGAGGTTGCAGTAAGCCGTGATCCCACCACTGCACTCCAGAGCCTGGGCAACAGAGGGACACTCTGTCTCAAATACAAAAAACATTCAGTAACATTTCTATATGCCAACAGGGAACAATCTGCAAAAGAAATTAAGAAAGATAATCCCATTTACAATAGCTATAAATAATATAAAATACCTAGGAATAAACTTTACCAAATAAGTGAAAGATCTCAACAATAAAAACTATAAAATACTGATGAAAGAAATGGAAGAGGATGCACAAAAACGTGAAAAAAGATTTCATGTTTCTGGATTGGAATAATTGAT